TTCTTTCGTTATAAAGATTCTATCTAATGTCCTTTATTTTCTCAGTAATTCACAATTCAATTATACTGCACTTTACTATTTATAATCACTAACATCAACTTTCACAATTTCCTCTACTTAAATGTAATTCCCAACGCGTTCACTTTACGTCTTCACTGATGTTAACGCCAACCAATTTGCTTTGTCACTGCTTGACTTGCAGCTGAGTGTCGCCTTTATATAGCAGTCGGCTGCTCGCAGACGAAAGCGTAGAAGCATCGAATTGTTCGCTATGGAAGGTTCTTGTTTTATCGTACTAGTTATCGGCTTCTCTCTTTCATCTGACATTCGCCTCGCATTTTCGCAACAATATGTTAAAAAAAATTGTTTTTAAGTGGTGCCTCTATATGAACGTTAATAGCGACACAAAAAAGAAAATTACGATAATAAGCGACAAAAGCTTTATCATGTATGCTCAGACTTAGCGAACCGCAAATCGTTGAAATGTTTGCACCGAATAACGAAATCGTTAAAATTGTCGCTAAGTCAGTAGAAATTCCTTCACAAGTCTTCGAACAGAACTATTTTCAGAGCTGTTTATAGTTCTTTATTTTGACCTGCGATTTGATACACAGTTTTAATAAACAAATCTTATATATTTCGGTATTTAATCAAAGATAGCACTTAATCGCTGGGGGGGAGAGTAAACTAAAAAGAAATTTAATTCGTACTTCCTCCTTTTCTTAGAAAACAAATTTTTTGGCATATTAATTTTGCAATTAAACTAATATACAAATAGATTCGTTGAAGTAATATAGTTCGTTTTTCATATAATGTCACACCGACTCCGCTTTCTTAATCCAAAGAAAACTTTATTTCTACTATGTGATATCCAGGAAAAATTTCGACATGCCATCCCATTGTTCGAAGGTTTAATTAAAAATGTTAACAAACTAGTAAGTGCGTTGAACTATGTCCATTTTCTGTTGAAATGTACATAAAGTGCTTATATTTATTTGTAGACAACTGCTGGCAAAGAATTTGAAATCCCACTTATAGTGACGGAGCAGTTTCCTGAAAAATTGGGCCAAACTGTTAAGGATTTAGACGTTTCTCATGCTGAAGCTATTATAAGTAAAACTCAATTCAGCATGCTTGTTCCTGAATTGGAAAGTAAAATTAAAACAATATACGGGGAAAAACCATGTGATGTTGTGCTTTATGGACTAGAGGTTAAGATTCATCCACAAATAAACAAAGTTTCTAAATAATTTAATTTTATACAATGTACAAAAGTTATCGTTCATCTGAAGTAAAGACTTGATTATTTCTTTTCAGTCACACGTTTGCATAGAGCAGACTGCAATAGATTTCTTGAACAACGGTATTAACGTTTATATTGTAGCCGACTGCTGTACTTCGCGCTTAAATCAAGATCGTGACTTAGCTTTGGAACGCTTACGAGATGCCGGTTGTATTATTACTACAAGTGAAAGTATAATTTTTAATTTGTTACGGGACAAGAATAATCCAAAGTTTAACGTTATTCGAAAGTTAGTGTATCCTCCATCCGAAGATATGCAATTATCCAAGTCATCTGGGCCATCAGCATCGAAATTATAATTATAAGCTTGATTCGTAAATTTGCTTATATGTATGTTTATTTCATATGCAATTTTCGTAAATGATGATTATCTGTAATTTTCTTTAGAAAAATATATCCACTTAAAAAAGCCATAATCACAAGGAAGCTCCTTTCATATCTGAGATAATTTATTTATATAATTATCTTACGAGTTCTAAAGATATGGATTCAACTTGAATAATTCTTTTAGAGGGATTGCACATACAATTGAGAACTAAGCTCGTAAAGAAGTACCCGATATTCACTGCTCTTTACCCATATGGATCAGATCAAAGTTTCACAATCAAATCTGTGAGGTTTAGTATGCTAAAACACACAAATGTAATGCCAAAGAGGTTTTTAAAAGATATGCTAAGTAGAGAAGTTTAATTAAATACCAAAACTTCGAATTGGCCACGAAGAGCACCTAATGGAAGTAAATATGTCATCCCACTGAATTTGGGAATTAACTCGGAGTTCAGAAAACTGGTACTGCTGTTGTTTGATGCGATAATTAGCGTATAAAATAGTTTTGTACCCTGCGAACTCTAGTAGCATTTATGTATTCTTTATAATACCATAAATCTCAATGAATTCATATTATTATAATTGTTGGTGATAGCCATTCACTAAGGAATAATTCGAGTAAAATTAAGTAGTCACTTATGATTTTATTATCAGATCTTATTTATATATTCAAATAAACTTTGTATTTAACACCAAATAAATATTAAACTGAGGTTTTTCTTCTAATTCCTCGCCTTTTCAAATCATTAACTACACTCTCAAGAGGCGCACCTCGAGCTAAATGTGTGGTTTGGGTGATCGTTTGGCGAATAACGTTATTCTGATGAAAATTTAGCTTTTTACTGTCAAATCTCTTTAATATATCTTTACTAATAAAATTTGATTGATTTTTTGATTGTGATTTTTTATTTTTTTTATTTTTTGATATCTGTTTTCTTCTTTTTTGTCCAGTACTCTTCGAAGGTGAAACTTCACTGAAGTCCTCCCATTTGGTTACTTCTTTTTTTGCTTCTTCTATCTTCATACGTCGAAACTTTTCTTCACGCTTTTTTAAAAATATTCTAGCTTCTTCACTTCCAATATTAGGATTTTTTGAAGAATGGATTTCCTCTTGTTGCTTTTGAATAATCTCATTTTTAAAAGTAGCCCATGGAGTTGCCGTTTGAGGACGAACCACAGGAATAAATTTTTTCAAGCCCCACTCTTTTTCCTTTTTAGTGAAATCACTTCTAGGATGTATTTTCCTCTTATTATTAGCAAATGAGTGATCCTTCTGCTCATTGAAAAACCCAGGACTTTTGCGAAAGGGATTGTTTTGCATTTTTACAATGTTAACCAAACACAAAGATGAAGAACACGCGCAAAATATAAATGTAAGAATTCGATTTCATTTTGGCACCATACCATCTTTGCCTACACAGTGATTTTTGACATAATTCCTTATACCATGTTTACACATGACTATAATAACTTATACGCCAACTTGTGGAACGCATTAACGACAACTATTACTTTCGTTGCATCCTTTGTATATATTGTTGCGAAAATGCGAGGCGAATGTCAGATGAAAGAGAGAAGCCGATAACTAGTACGATAAAACAAGAACCTTCCATAGCGAACAATTCGATGCTTCTACGCTTTCGTCTGCGAGCAGCCGACTGCTATATAAAGGCGACACTCAGCTGCAAGTCAAGCAGTGACAAAGCAAATTGGTTGGCGTTAACATCAGTGAAGACGTAAAGTGAACGCGTTGGGAATTACATTTAAGTAGAGGAAATTGTGAAAGTTGATGTTAGTGATTATAAATAGTAAAGTGCAGTATAATTGAATTGTGAATTACTGAGAAAATAAAGGACATTAGATAGAATCTTTATAACGAAAGAAACTGCAAATTAAGTTGGCGAGTTTTTATTTAACAATCCAGAGATCGTACCCGAAGGATTCAGAAAATAATCGAGGGTGATTTAGTAAAATCGTAAAAATATTGTTGCGAAAATGCGAGGCGAATGTCAGATGAAAGAGAGAAGCCGATAACTAGTACGTTCTAGAAACGATAAAACAAGAACCTTCCATAGCGAACAATTCGATGCTTCTACGCTTTCGTCTGCGAGCAGCCGACTGCTATATAAGGGAACACTCGGCTGCCAAATTAAGTTAGTTACAAAGTGAACTGGTTGGCGTGAACATTAGTAAAGTCGGAAAGTAAACGCGTTGGAGATTACATTTAAGTAAAGTAAATTGTGAAAGAAACGGCAAATTAAGTTGGCGAGTTTTTATTTAACAATCCAGAGATCGTACCCGAAGGATCTAGAAAATAATGGAGGTGGATTTAGAAAAATCGTAAGAATATAATATCTATCTTAGTTAATTTGGAGAAAAGGAAGGAAGAACAAGCAATCACATTGTGACGAAAATACTAATAGGAGCGAGAGGTGAGAAGAAGAAGCCTATAACTAAAGCATGCTCTATTGATCGTGCATCGAGTGTTTGTTAACAAGAAAACTCAAGGAGAACCATCTGGAGATGCGTCCCAAAAATCGTTAGGTATATTAAATCGTGGGTCAAAACAGCAGCGCGTTCACTAAAATTTGGTACTGTGGCGACAACATCGGGGAAGTAAGACAGAATAAATTATGTGTGTTACCACAGAATAAACCAAATATATGTTCACAGAAATTTGAATAGTTATTAAACTTAGTGTATATAGAAAGCTGTGTGTTAACATTTAGGAAGTTGAAAAACAAATCTTCATGTAACATTCAAAAATTGTCTTGCTCTGGTAAATTATTTGAGCGGCCTCACATCATTCAAAATATTATTCAGTACAAGTTAGTTGATATTGTGGCATATACATCGAATACAAATGTTGACCTAAAAGGGTTTAAGTCGCCGAAATGGTGACAGCTCTTGGCGGCATAAAATCCGCGTCAACTGCGGTGCGAAAGCCGGCTGCCTCACCAGGGTCCTCAATTTGCCTTTGACCATTCTAATGATACATACGAGCGCGAGCTGTCCTGGTAGAACTGGATCTGTCAAAAGCTTTTGACAACGTCAATCATTCAGTACGGCCGGGGTTTCCGAGATGGATCATAGGCTACCTGAGTGGTCGACAATCATCGGCTACATCAACTAAGGAAACCGCAGGATGGTGCCCTCTCCCCACCTTTGTTTAATTTCCACAATTCAAAACTCTTTCTTCCACCAGAAGGAATTTCCCTAACCTGGTATGCCGATGATTGTACGTTATTGGCGGCTGGCTAGGATATTGCCGTTCTTTGTTCGAAAGTGACCAGCTGGAGGAAGGAATACAGGTTCGAATTAAATGTAAAGGTCAAGGACGTGAAAATTCGGACAATAAAGAATCCCAAGATACTATGAATCATACTCGATAGCCTGCACTCCGCATAAGACCGCAATTTCCGCAAAACTCCAGAGCCGAATGCAGCATCTGGGGTAAAGATAAAGAAACCTTGCTGGCAACCTATAAAGCATTTTGCCGGCCGGTCGTAAACTATACAGCACCGCTCTGGGCGTCAGGGATGAGAATGACGCACATAAAGAAGTTACAGACTTGACAGAAAGAAGTGCAAAAATTCTAGATTATAGGGATGAAGTGCGAATCCCAAGCTATGGCCAAAGAGGGAAGTAGAGGCGTGCTCGGGGACACAAAGAAAAAGACGGATCCTTTCAGAATTTTCATTCTGTCTAGTGTATATATGTATGCTTGCTTTAATATTTTTATGCATGTGTATACGTCCTATCGTTTCGCGTGCATATTCAAACGGTTCTTTGCAATTCAATCGGCTCATTTTTGCTTTGGTTCGAAATTTCGTTTCTCCCCGCTGTGCTACGAAAATCGTGAGAATTTGAAACAAGGTGTAATCTATTAACCTCAACAAAATTTTTCAAATTGGTTCACAGTTCTTTTCCCTTCTTATTAATAAACGTTCTTTACTAAGAGCAAGAGAAGAGTTTTCTCCGAGATCGCAATTGAATATTTTATAATTTATCGAATTCAGACCATTGGCAAATCAATGATGTGAACGTGATGAAAGTGGTCCACTGTGAGAGACTCCAAGCTTTTGATAAAACTTTTTCTGACTTATATTAAAATACGTTCTTTGATCAGACTGCCAAATACGAATGTGATGTGAGGAGGGCGACAACGAAAGCGTGGTTCCGAGAGAGGACATGTATCTAATGTTATGTAACGAGAACACTCAAACAGAATAAAATCGAGAAACGTCAAAAAAAAAATAGAAGCTAATAAACAAAATATGGGGCCATGCTCACACAAGTGACGAAAGTTTTTGACTGCCATTTATCCGGAAGTGGAACGAAGAAGAGGAGGAGACAACCGAACACCACCTCTGCCACTGTCCAGCCTTGGTATCCGCGTTGAGTTGGCCTCAGTGAACATTGGAAATCTCGTTGCCTATATAAGGCACACGAAATGGTTCGATCATTTGAAAAGGTGAAGCCAGGAGCCTCAGCGGTATCACAATGCGCCTATTGGCCTAAGTGGGGTTTTTGACCAGCAGCCGCATCAACTCCACTCAACTCATGGCATTGTAGGCTTTGAGACCCAACGTATGAAAAATCTACCTCAATGGAAAAGCAACTAAACGCTCGGAAAGGAGATAAACATCTACATACACCCTATCAAAGCTATATTTTTCAATATGTCGCTGATTTGTGCCTTCGCTAAGATAGAAGAGAAAAACGATGTTACCAAGAACGTTTTCTATGGGCGTATCTGGACGCTACCTCCACCAAGATAAGAAAATTGTGCTTGGGGACTTTAACTCTAGGGTACTGAAGAAAAGTATTTTTTGTAAAATAGTCGGGAAATTATATTTCTACGATGAAACATCCCCAAACGAACTGAGAGCACTCATACAAGTGAACTGGGGTACGGAATTTCAAACTACCAACGTACAGCTGCAAACGAAGTTATTTCGGAAAGGTCGCAAAAACAGCTGGTACGATGAGGACTGCCATGTCACATTATGGAAAAAGAAGGCTGCCTTCCTCAAAACGTTGTGCTCGAAACAAACACGTTGCGGAATGGGATATATTCCGAGAGCTGAAAAGGGAAGCAAGACGCATCTGCAGACAAAACAAGGCCGAATTGTGTGAATATGAAGAGCTTGAGAAGTTGGCTGATAAGGGAAATGCTCGAAAATTTTACGAAAAATACGGCGACTTACAAAAGGTTTCAAGACCGGGCAGATTTTGTAGGACACAGAGAAGTGATCTAGTAACGGATGCCCGCAGTATATTGAATTAATGGAAGGAACACTTCTAAATGTCGGTGACAATGATACACCAGGAAATAGTCAACCCGAAATCCCAATCGATGACGATGGAAATGACGATGTCTGAAACCGGTATTCATGAAAAACTTCTACGGCTGTGTAAATTGATGATGGCCCAGAGAATGAAGAGACAGCGGTTACGCACTTCGGCTTTGAACGTATTCGATGCAGTACCTACTGGTGGAAGCAGGGGAAGAGAAAGACATACACTGCGGTGAAAGGAAAAAGTGGAGTGCGACCTAACTTCACTTGGTATTTCCAACTGGCGCGAAACAGCGAGAAGAAGGGATGAATGCCGCGCAATTATTGATTCGGCTATAACCGCGAAAATGGTATCAACGCAATTAGACAAGAAAGAAGAAGAGGAATATGAAAAGAAAATAGTAGTCAACCGTTTTTAACCAAAATGAAGAAATATCGCACCTTTCATCATTGAATAGAAGTTTGCTTTGAGAACACTATTAAAATACTTAAAGGTTTTAATCATCTTGAAATTCTTAGCGGCTTTATGGTCATTCGTCCGTAAGACGCTGTATGCATCGCGTAACAGGTGCGATCAATCTTTTGATATTTTTTGCGAAGCATAGATTCCCCATTACCCAAATGGAGCTGCAAGAGGTTTCGCCTCGTCATCGTCATCATTTGTTAGAGGCTTGTTTTTGTAAATAGACATTTGGTTCTTATTTCAAATTTATGGCGGTGATAAGTACGCAGGACAGCGTTACAGTATTTTTATTTTGAGCTCCTCTATCAATCCATTGCGTGTTGAAAATCATTTGATAAAAGTAATTAATATCACGAATTTGTTTTTTTTTTTGTCAGTGCTCTTTGTGCTTCTCGGATTTATGACGTTTTCTTTAGTCGCGGTACCACCTTTACTCCATTTTAATAAAAGTGAAATTTCAGTTGTCGATTATCATTTAAACTGATGACTAAACGTATTTGTGATTCGAAAATCGTTGAAGCTAGTGAATTCCCGTACTGGACAAATAGTGCTGCGGCTCAAAAGTTGTGTTCTGTAAACTCATTATCGTTGTGTCATTAATTAAGTTATCGAAGAAGCAACATCTGACCTACACAAAAACAAACTTTTGTTCTGAAATCTGTTTTTCAACATTTGCTTCGTTTTCATTTTGTGGTTTTCTTAAACTATTATTGCCAAGTAGATCGTAATACAATTGAAAGCGAGCCATGGTGATTACCAACGATATCAGCTTACCTCCTGATGAAGAATTGACCGTTCAAGAGTTAAACTTGTCTACTTCGGCTCTTCGTGCTGGTGCATTTCATTTAGGAAAACACTGCGAGAACCAGAATAATGTATGTTCGAAATTTTTTTATACAACATTTCTTTAATCTAATAATAATATCATACATAATTTTCAATTCGTAGTCTCTATAAATATATATTTAGTTATATAATGTTTTACTGAAAGTTCTAACCTCAACCAACGAACAGCTGATCATGTTTCCATATTGTAGTTAAAACTTAAATAAATATTTATTTTCAGGAATTTATGTTATGTCGCCAAGAGTTAGATGACCCGCGGGCATGTATAAGCGAAGGAAAAGCTGTAACTAGCTGCGCTCTGGACTTTTTCCGGAAAGTAAAAAAAACATGTCACGAAGAGTTTTTGCAATATGCCACTTGTTTGGACAAAAGTAGTGGCAATATGGCTTTTGGAAAGTGAGTATTGTTAAAGTGTATTTTTAAGCATTTTAATGGGTTTTGAAATTTTATGAACAGCTGTCGAAAAACACAAGGCGTCTTAGATAAATGTGTATTAGATAATTTAGGTATTGAGCGCCCCGATTATGGATATTTCACTCGCGCCAAGGTAAATTAATAACTCGTACTAAATCAATGCAAGTTACGACTTTTTTTTTGTTAATGTACAGGTTCATTCAACTGAGCGTGAAGCGCCTCCTAAGCCAATAAAGAAAGAATATCCAGATGCTACGCCTGGCTTACCAGAAGACTATCCCAAACCACCAGCCAAATATGGATCTCGTTTCCACTGGTTGGAATAAGCTATGCCATCAGTAAAAGTGCTTGCGAAAACATTTACTGTTGAAAATGGAGTTTAAATACTTTTAGAAAATACAAAGCTTGAATAAGTGAATGGACTCAATTGACTTAGTGCTTACTTGTTTGTGGGAAACAGACTTAATAATAATTAGAAGCTTATTAAACATTTTACACACGAACATATTATATATTAGGCACTTTCCTAAGTATACATTTTTCTATCATTTTTAACACGTTCTCGAAGTTTTTATCTAAACAACAGCTGCAATATGTTAACAATAAACCATGTCCCTGAAGGTGTCGATTAACAGGTGTACTCTGATGGTAATGCCAGTAGTTAGATTCTTCGCCCAAGATAATAGCTATTTTATCGAACAGATTGCTGCCAACCTGAAAATGTCTAGTGTTTCCGGAAATGATTTGCCACTCTGCATACTGAACTTTCACACGGGGTGGTATATTTGCCATTTCCTTCGCCATCGACTGTTCAAACTATCAAATAAAACATGCAAATATGATTTTATGTACACAAATGTATGGGATAATTCTTACCCAGTCTTTAATTGATGGGAATGACGAAGTAGGATTCCACCTTTTTCGACTTGCCATTGGATTAAGCGGGTCACTGTATATTTAAAAGTAATAAAACTATGATTATTTTATTTATTTTTTTTTAAGGTAAAGCTTTAGTGCTTACACATCTGGCGAATATCTTAAGCACAAAAACACGATTTCAACAAAATCCTTCGGAGCCATAGCAGTTGTAGCACACTTTGATGTTTTCACTTTCAGAGAGTGATGTGAAATAATCGTGATCCATGTGCTCAGTAAAATAAGAAAGAATTGTATTTACCTGCCCTAATTGTTATCTCTATTCATAGGGTAGCATTATTTCTCAGTATTCAGGCTACTTAAGATTATCTTCAGGTATTTTTATGTTAGCCAGTGATCGTGTGCGACATAGTTTGCCTGAAAAGGCTCTCACCAACATATGTATCTACAGTTTTTTTTTTAAAAATTACTTAATGCGTTCCTTTACTTCTGTACTCATTAGGCTCTACCAATTTTAACACACAAGCAAAATCACTTATATCACATACACAAATCCGGGATAACAATACTAAAATAGAAAATAATATTCATTATACTACCATAATAATAGCATTTTCCTCAACAAAGATTTTAACCCACTTATTTAAAGATATAGTCATTATTTTGGTATAAAATCGCTCTTAAGTTTATCTCCATTAAAAATGAATTGTTTTGGTGCATCTCGCTAAAACTGGAGAATGTCTGAATCGATTTTACTAATTTTGATTTTAAAATGTTAGTGGAAGTTCACTGAAGGTTAAAACGGTTAGAAACATCGGTACATTAACATAAACTCTACGTTTTCTTCTGAGAAGTGAATCAGTTCGATTCACTATAACTCTTCCATACAGAAAATAGCATGGTCTTTTTGAAATAAATTTAATAAAAAATAGCTCAGTAGTAAGCGAACGCCAAATGCACATACATACATACAAGCAAAGCGTATAGTCGACTCCCACGACAGCCGGTTCTAATAACTGGAGTTAACCAGGATTTTATCCGACCAAGGGCTGTCAAAATTTCGGCGACCTAACCTCGCTAAGCTACGAACGGCTTGCGGAGGTCTTTCCCGATCCTGACGGAACTTTTGGTATTGCCAAACGTCATTTTACACAATGTATAAGAAAGCTGCTTTAAAATTGTAAATTTTTAAGGTCTAAAGATACGCTGAGAAGGTCAGATCAGTTTTTTGACTAGGGTTTTAGTCTTTCACACAACACGCTCGATAGGACCTTACATATATGCGACACTGAGAAGGCTTATCTTATGATAATTTAAGGGGGTTCCCCTTTTTGTCGATTGGGTATTGCATACTTAGGTTCCAATGTTGTTGTTTTAACCGCAAAAATATTCTCCAAAGTACTTTTTGGGTAATGTTGCGAAGGTGACGGCTCTTGACCGGATAAAAATCTGGGTTGTGCAACTGTCGCGGAAACTATTGGATTTTAGTCGCCTCTTACGAAGACATGCCTTATCGCGGGTAAATTCCTTAACACCTAACCCGTAGGGGGGCTTAGGCTCCAATGTTGTTATTTTTGTAGCGGTTTGCTTACCCCGCTTATGGACAAGTTTAATCAATCTAAGTCGCCGAGGTCATCTAATGGGAGGTCCAGGAAACGTACTGTTTCGGCGGGATTGGATTAGAGGGAGAGAGGGGTTAGATGTGTAGGCTTAAGGGGGGGCATGTGTGCATGTGAAGAGGTGGTTAGTGTCGTGCGGAGACTCTTCACATGTACAGCATACGTTGGGTATGCTGAGGTCGAGTCTAGAGTGATATGTGGATGTAGTGTGTTGTTTCTGTACTACCTGCTCATTTGGACGGACACGCTCTTATTGGTTGGCGACGATGTTGTTTATAAAGGCTGGACCAAATCCTACAGCATGGGTGGTACGTAGGCAAGACACTTTCGATAATGTCACCATCCGGAGGCTGGGGCTCATTTGAACGTTATAAAACTCCCTATGGGTCCTAAGGCCCGAGCAGACCTTAGAATGACCATTGCACTAGTAACATCTAACAGAGGTGAAGGAATGGTGAAGTATTTTATGGCACACGCAGCAGAAGTAATTTATCGGACTTGGGCTGGTTTCGACGCCAACACTGATAAGAAAGATTTGGAGCAGCCCATCTGCGAGGTGTTGCTCCATTGATGCACTTAGATAAATGTTACCTGTTGTTACATAAACGGGGTTACGTCACCGAAATTCTGACAGCCCTTGGCCGGCAAAAAATCTGGCGAGCAGGTTAAAATTTTGAAAAAAATTTCTGTAGTAAGCCGCATGCTTCAAAACCGACGCCCCTGGGGAACAGGCTCTAACTTCAGCGAACCCTTAAACCAAATATCTAGGAGGGGCTTCCCTAAAGCTCACTCTAATTAATAATTATCTGAGTCTACTCTCACAACAGCCGGTTCTACCTACCAGTGTCGGGGAACTATATTTTAGTCGCCCCTTATGACATGCATGTCTTACCACGGGTACATTCTTGATCCCCTAACCCGCAGACGACTGTCTCTAAGCGGAGCTAGTGAACCGCTACAATATCAACAACCTTTTAATCGATTTTTAAGATGCATTCGGTAGCACAGTAAGGATCTGTCTTTACGCCATTATGTCTGATTTTGAAAAACTTATACCAAAGATGACTACGTACGAATCTTACTCAAAATCACTCAAATCGCAGCTGAGAGCGTTCCCCCATCTCACATTCTAATACTGGCAGCAGTGTCAGATCGGGGAACATTCAACATCTGATGTGCAAAACGCGCCAGTGCGACTATCCCAATAAAAAAATCCATTGTTTTTGTTTCAAAAGAAATTTGCTTCAGCAGTAAATATTAAAGAAATTGTTGTAATTTTATTATTAAAACTTAATATAATTAAATATTGAATTGTTTTTCAATGAAATATTTTGGTGAATAAAAATCCAAAGAAGTCGATTTTCTATCACAGTGACACTGTTCAGAAATGTTATATAAATAGCGGATTTTTGAGCGCTCTCACGAAATAAAGAGTTTCGTGTCTAGTCATCATTGCTTATACGGCTGTGTAAACTGACGTTAGAGAGCACCATAAGTACAGCCGGAATTGGAAAGGACAGGTTGATTCTCTATCGAGCGATTTCGTCAATTTGATTGTGGAGAAAATAGTATGGGATGCAGAGCTAACTAGGCAAGGTACACTCTTCTCCAAGAGTGTATAGCTGCAGTCGTTAGCCGGTGACTCAATAAAGAAGCGAAAATAACGGGTTTGGTAGTGAACGAAGACACTTGAGGTCTTACTGCTTCCGACTTTTAAAACCCAGGAAAGTTAAGCAGGAGGTTCCGCAGGGTGGTGTCCTCTACCCGCTAGTGTTTAACCTCTACATCTCGAAACTTCCTCCACCACCAGAAGGAGTTTCCCTAACCTTTTATGCCGATTATTGTACGATTATGGCATCTGGACGGGATATTGACGACCTCTGCTCGAAAGTGAACGGCTACCGCGCTGATCTCCCCCAATTACTCATTGCAAGACAGATAAAAATACAACCGACCAAATTCTCGGCTACCCTCTTCACCAGCTGGACGAAGGAGTACAGGCTTGAACTAGATGTGAAGGTCGATGACAAAACAATTCCGACGGTAAATAACCCAAAAATATGTGGAGTATCACTAGACAGCCTGCATTCCTTCACTCCGCATACGACCGCAAAGCGCTAGCCGGCAGCACCTGGGATAAAGATAAAGATACTTTGCTGGCTACTTATAAAGCAATTGGCCGGCCGCACCGATCTGGGCACAAAGGGCGAACGAGACGCAAATGAAGAAGCTACAGGCTTGCCAAAACACCGCCGTCAGGACGGCGACAGGAAACCTCTTGATGTCGCCGGAGCATCACTTGCATAGCGAAGCATCTATGCTACTAGTTAAGGAGCGTAATGCTTTGCTGTGCAAGCAGTTCCTATTCGGATGCTATCGCAGGGAGCACCCCAGTAGGCACCTAATAGAAGCTGAACCTCCTCCTAGGCACATCAGAAAGGGAGTACTAGACTTAAAGGACACAATCCAGCAACACATAAAACAACCACTGGACAGGACGGCGTACCGACAAGCACTGAAGGCCTTCCAGTGAATGGCGGACCCAGAGAAATACCACAACCCATAGCAGACAACGAGCTCGAGCTGCCTCGAGAGATCCGCCTGACCCTGACACAACTCAGGTCTGGATATTGTAGCAGGTTAAACTCCTACTTATCCAGACTAGACCCCAGCATACCCAACGAATGCCCTGCATGTGGAGAGTCTCCGCACGACACTAGCCACCTTCTTCACATGTACACGTGCCTACCTTAAGTCTACACATCTAACTCCTCTTGCCGACTAATCAAATCCCGCCGAAACAGCACGTTTCCTGGACCTCCCATTAGATGACCTCGGCTACTTAGATTGACTAAACCTGTGCCTAAGTGGGGTAAGCGAACCTCTACAACAACAACTACAGTGTCAGTTGAGTTTGCTTAAGAGGCCTTGCAAAGAGGTAGCTATAGTCCCTTGTGGATTCATTCAACGAGCAATTCCAATTGAATTGAGGTAGAGCTGCCGGACAGGTATTGTAAATACCTAATTATTTTGCGATCATGCCTTTAAATTAACTGAAAACTTATAGTTAGTGAAATTTAAATTTATGTCCTGAAGTTAACTAACTAGTTATTCCACGCCTTTACTTTTCACTTCATCATTAAACTTTATTTAAAACATAAACATAATTTCAATTATACCTTAGGGTATATACATACATATTTACATTCTCACACACTAATAAGAGTTGATAAAAACATTACTCTGCGTACCATTTTGTTCTTTTTGGTATTTGCGGAGTTTCCTCTTGGTTTCCTCTTAATCCTCCCATATTAGCCTGACTATCTATTAGACGCTTATATTTTTTAACCAGATGCTCTAAATCATCCCGTTCTTCTCTCTTTCCTTGTTTGGGTCTCTCAATATCCTTTCGTTCAGCTAAATGTATTTGACGAATTTTCTTGGCTTTCTCCTTTCGTTTATTGGCTTTAACATTTTTTTTGTGTTCTTGAGCTTGCTCTGCAATTTTTTTGTTTGACCGTAAACGTATGTTAGAGCCGGCTTTCGCGGCTGTACCAACAAAATCATCGAATTCTTCCCTTGCAGAATTTTTACTTTGTGTGGACTGCTGCCTCGACTCCTCTAATTGTAGTATTTGCTTTTTCAGTTTATCCTTGTCATCATTTTGAACAGCATTGGCCTTTTTGTTTAGTTTTCCTTGCTTTTTCAAATTTCGAATTTCCTTTTTCTTTTTTAATTTTTCTTGGAAAGTAGGATTATTAACTTTTGATTTTTGTTTTCTCTTCTCTTTTATTTTTTCCACAGCCCGATCTTCAATACTAAAGCCTACAATTGGTCGCTAGATTAGATATGTAATAAAAAAAACATGTAGTTAGTGAACTGATACGTAAACCGTATGTAAAACTCACATGTTGTGTTCCGAATATTGTTGGATTGTTGTTAAGTTTTCTCAAGGCTGATAAAGCTTCTTGATGAGTATTGAAAGACATAAATCCGAAACCTTTTGATTTTCCCATAGGATGTTCTGGTGTAACCTTATTTTCTCGCATAACTCTGCATTCATGTGGTCTATATCCTGTATATGCCATAATCATATTCTTGAGTTTGTCGTTATCATAATTCAAAGGCAGATTGTGAATGGATAAACGATTACGAGAAACAAAACTGCAATTGGTTACAATCATTAGTGAATTTCATAGTTAGTTGAAAGCAAATTATCCTTACCGGTTAAGATTTTTTAAAACTTGAGTTTTTATTTGTTCTAATTTATGCCTCTTTGTCATATCTGAAGCAGATACACCTTCCGCTGATTTGCTATTAGCCATAATCAGTCCCTCTCTCGCTAAATATAAGTTACGAGAATCTTTTCCATCTTTTTTCGATTTTAGTTTTTCTTGGTTTTGAATTTCTTCTCTACTTAAAGCTGGAGTTGGTTCTAGTAGCTGATCCATTAGAACGAGCTCCCCTCCGGATTGTAGGCAAAGGTCAGCAGATTCTTTATTTTTAAATTTAACAAAAGCTGTCCCCTTAGAATGCCCCGAAATTTGCTCCCTATTAATAATTGCGTACTGAAGTGGACCGAATTTCCGGAAAACTTTTCGCAAATCAGCATCCTCTGCATCAAAACTAACGTTTTTAACAAAAATCGTACAACCATTTTGAACGTCATTTGATATATGTTTTTCTTTTTCCACTCTGCCAATTTTAAGATTTGATTTCGATTTCTTGTCATCATCTGAGTCCGAGTCGTCGTCGTCTTCCATCATTTCACTGTCACTATCGTCTTCACTATTAGTATCTTCGATATCAGCTTCGAGCTTTTTGGAATCCTAAGGAGATGAAAAATAATATGGAATATATAAACTTCGAGATTAATGGGACTGCTAATACACATATTTATATTTTATTTTACCTCTTTTACAGAAGTTTGACTTAATTTATCATCTTCTTCTTTAAGTTCAACTTTAGGTTTTTTCTCATCGGGCTCATCAGAATTCTTGTCATTTTTTTTATTCGTATACTCGTCTTTGCCTAGCGCCCAATCTATGTATATAGGTCGACCAAGGAACTTCTGATTATTTCCTTTCAAAATGGCCTTTGATGCTTGATTTACAGAGCTATATTGTACAAATGCACAACCAACTAATTTGCCATCGGGGCGCTTAAGAAGATTTAGATCTTCAACAGTTCCCCACTGGCTGAAATGCTTTAGCAAAACATCATCTTTTACTTTATAGCTTATATTTCTGACAATGATACGCGCTTTTTTCTTTTGCCGACGTTCTTTATCTTCCTTCCGTAATTGTACACTGAAAGGATTCCTACGTTTTTTATTTTTTTGCGGGTCGTCCTTGTCATCCGCCGTTTGTTCATCTTTAACTGAATTAAGTATCTCCATAATATGAGTAAAAATATTTTTTACACTTTATAAATCACTAGCAGATATAATGAAAACAAAACATTTGACATAAATATAATTTTGACGCACGTGGCTGCAATAGAGAGAATGTATAATAATTACATTCTCTGTTCAATACAAAGAAATATTCTAATTTCTCTGTTCAACGTCAATGTAATGCATGTAGCGGCATCTGTAGTTTGAGTTCAGCAAGACGTCAGCTCCTATTCCAAATCAAAAAGGTTTGTGCAATCAAGTTCGTTTAACAAAAGCTTGAACATCTTTGTGCTGTTAATATCTTATTCGGGCCGACATAGAGAACATTTTAAAAACGAGTTTTGTGGATGAAAACGTATGTCTTTTCTGTCAGCGCTCTTCACACAGAAGAATCTTTACGACCTCCCAAATAAGTAGACAGAGGAGCCGAGATTACTAAACTTAAATAACACGTTTTCGGTGGAGCAAAAATCCAGTCGACTCTCACCCAACCAGTTCTCCGCGCCCTAGTTGGCCCGAAATCTATCCGACCAAAGGCTGTTACCTTTACGGCCAAGGAGCGTCACCCTATTTGCGATCTAGTCCCGTCTAGGTAACACTAGTATAAGACCATCAATCGAGCACCTGTTGGCTGGGCTGCTCCAAATTCTTCAATGAGGGCTGGCGTCGAAGCCTGATAAAAGTCCGGGTCGTTCCGGTATAAAGACCCGACTGTCGCGGTAACTTATGACAGGCATGCATCACCGCGGGTAAATTCTTGAGCCCCTAACCCGCAGGGCAGGGTCGTTGTTGTTGTTGTTGTAACCGCAAAATTATTCCCCAAAGTACTTTTTGGGGAATGTTGCGGGAGTGACAGTCCTTGGCCGGATATAAATCTGGGTCGTTCCGGTATAAAGACCCGACTGTCGCGGGAACTATTGGATTTTAGTCGCCTCTTACGACAGGCATGCCTTACCGCGGGTAAATTCTTGGGCCCCTAACCCGCAGGGGATGGGGCAGGGTCGTCGTGACCGCTGCCGCCCGCTTCATCCCGGCAGGACGGGATGTTAGTATTAATATCTATGTCACTAAATCTAACAGCTTATATTTTATCTCTTATGTTCTCAACTTTCGCATCATAATGTCCAAGTTCTGACGAAAAACTTGGACAATTTCTTCATAGCGCGGTTCCAGTTTTTCTTATATTAAAGAACGTAATATACGTTCTTTGCTTATACATATTGTTGCGAAAATGAATTACTTAGTAAATAAAGGACATTAGATAAATTCTTTGAAACGAAAGAAACTGCAAATTAAGTTGGCGAGTTTTATTTAACAATCCAGAGATCGTACCCGAAGGATTCAGAAAATTATCGAGGTTGATTTATTAAAATCGTAACAATATGTATGTATCTAGGCATCTGTTAAAATCCAACAGATAGGAATACAAAAATATGTCATTTCAATTTCATGTAAAATAAAAACAAATGCAAATAATTTTTCTAAATTCCTAGTAAGTTCTTGCTATTTTGCGCAAACAAATCTCGAAATAATTTGCCAAAAAACAAACCGCGTTTCATACCACGTTAGTACCTAAGACAGGGATGTTGTTATCGCCATCACCCGCGATTAAGTGTGGTCAATTTTGATTATGACATTTTGGTTGTCATCGCGTTAAATCTGCCTTGATCGGTCTATTATTTTATTTATTGGAAAAATTAAATATACAGAGAATTAATAATGTTTTGTGCATATTCACACTTGGGAAGTTTAGGTCGAAAGCCAACTCATAACCGCTACATCCCAAGAACACGCCCAGCTAGTGAGAGGAGGACTGTAGAGGCAAGGTAATCAAGACGAAGTGCTAAGCTTGAAAATGTTCCTTTTAAAACCAAGTGAATGAAAAGTACTACGGAAAGATATATTGAGTAAGAAATGCTAGTGATTAAGTCAGCAAATTTTATAAAAAAAATGGAACTGACATAATAGCTTGGGGAAAGTAATTAAAGGGAGTGATATTTAAACACATTACAATAATAAATATAGCAAAAAAAAAATGATCTAACACACACATTTGTATTTTTAAAATCTACATATGGTGCAGATCTTATCAATATGATGTTATAAGGGACTTGTCGCAACTTATAAACAAATCGCCCCGCAACGTTAGGCGAATTATAGAACATAATGCCTCTGCCCGAGGCTTTTTTAATACACAACGGTTAAACGAAATATTATCTAGAACGAAAACCACAATAACCGCTAACGGCTTTACTGTAAGTCTGGATGTCGGTTTTGAAAGGTGTAAACATGCCAAACACTTGATTGACATCAGTTTTCGTGCCTGCCGTTCGACGAATTCCAAATTACTTGCCCCCCTTGTTGGCCAACAAATGTATGTATATGTTTATAATATTATTAGCTATGATTTAATCAATTATTTTTAGTGGGTTTGCTCGCCATTTCAAAACTGACCGGTCTATCGATGCGGAAATGAAGAGAAATCCTACAATATTTTCCAGATTAAGGACAGCTTTTGGAGGAAATCCACAGAAACTTGAGGCTGAATTGTCTCATGCTCAGACCGAAACGATAAAAAAATTGCTTCAAAAGAGTAGTGAGAATGGACCAAAAAAGAATGAGGTACGGAGTATATGTTCCTTGTCTTTGTCTATATAACGTTTTGAATTTTAAGGCTGATAATATCAAAATAGCTTTTGCTGAAGGATACTTAGCAGCTGCGAATTCTGATGAGTCACCAAAATCAGGGAAAACTATGAAATATCTTAAAGTAAGTTGTCCATAAGCTTTTCTTCAGGAAATAAATAAATATCGAAGAATCACTCTTTCAATTTCAATTTTGAAATAATTTATTTTTTTCTTACTTAAATATATGTATATGTATTCATTTAATAGTAGTAACTTAAATTTTGTATAAAGGTTTTCCAACAGCTCTTGGTAATAGTTGTTTTCATTGGAATTTTTCTAAGTTTGTTTTCATCTTCAAACGGTTCGATGTTCAGGTAAATCCAACTACACGATTCTATTGTTTTACTTTCGTATAATTTTTTATTTCAAACATTAATCTTATGTATTTATCCACGAAAGTAGAATACAGTTGGGTAACCAAGTTGAAGTAGATCCCGAAGAAATCCACGTAACATTTGACGATGTAAAAGGCTGTGATGAAGCTAAACAGGAATTAAAAGAGGTTGTGGAGTTTCTTAAGAATCCCGAGAAGTTCTCTAATCTGGGAGGTAAACTACCAAAAGGTGTCTTATTAGTGGGACCACCAGGTACCGGAAAAACGTTGCTAGCACGAGCAGTTGCTGGGGAAGCAAACGTTCCATTCTTCCACGCCGCTGGGCCAGAGTTCGACGAAGTCCTTGTGGGTCAGGGTGCAAGGCGCGTACGCGATCTATTCAGTAAGATAATTTTTAATATAAAAAAATAATATACTTAAAGATGAAAATATAAATTTGTATGTCTATTTATTATAGAGGCGGCAAAACAACGGGCACCATGTGTAATTTTTATTGATGAGATTGATTCTGTTGGCGCGAAGCGAACGAATTCTGTCTTACATCCATATGCTAACCAAACTATAAACCAATTATTAGCTGAAATGGATGGATTTCATCAGAATGCAGGTGTAATCGTATTAGGTGCCACAAACAGACGTGATGATTTAGATCAAGCATTATTGCGTCCAGGCAGATTCGATGTTGAGGTAACTAAACCGTCGCAATAGGAGCAGATACATGTTTTTTGTCAATATAACTGAAAAAAAGGCTAAACTTGCATATTTGGTTAAAAACATTTTTTTTTTAAGTTTGTCATCTGAAAAAAAGAGTACTAGAAGTATATCCTAATAATTTCAATATTAATTAATTATATCTTTTAATAGCTGCTAGCTGCATTTGTGGTCATTAAAAGTTCATAAAAGTATGAGAAATAGAAATTAGAATTTAAAATTTACAACTTTGCTACTGGAAACTCGATTATCGACTTTGAATGAGAAGACAATTATTTTCAAAAATTCTTATGATAAATGTTTTAAATTTGCTCATTTTATTTTAGGTTGTGGTGTCCACGCCAGACTTTACTGGCCGTAAGGAAATTCTTTCCCTGTATTTAGCAAAAATTCTTCATGATGAAATTGACTTGGACATGTTAGCGCGAGGTACATCTGGTTTCACGGGTGCCGATTTGGAGAATATGATAAATCAAGCAGCTTTAAGGTAAATTAACATCTATCTGCATTTGTCGCGATCGACCAAACAATTTGCCATTTGTAGAGCGGCTATTGATGGCGCTGAGACCGTAACAATGAAACATTTGGAAAGTGCACGAGACAAGGTGTTGATGGGCCCCGAAAGAAAAGCTCGGCTCCCAGATGAGGAAGCAAACCTCATTACTGCTTATCATGAAGGCGGACACGCTATTGTAGCATACTATACTAAGGTAATGAAATTCATTTTAAATTTCTAAATCACGCTGTGTTAAATTACATTTCAAATCATATAGGAATCACATCCGTTACATAAAGTTACAATTATGCCTCGTGGACCCTCACTTGGCCACACCGCATACATTCCTGAAAAGGAGCGATATCATGTGACAAAAGCTCAACTTTTGGCAATGATGGATACCATGATGGGTGGGCGTGCAGCAGAAGAGTTAATTTTTGGCACAGAAAAAATCACATCAGGCGCAAGCAGCGACTTAAAGCAAGCAACTTCCATAGCTACACACATGGTTAAAGACTGGGGCATGTCGGACAAAGTGGGTCTTCGTACATTTGAGAACGCAAAGGGACTTGTCGCGTCGGAATCATTAGGACCGAATACTGTGGAAGTAGTTGACGCTGAGATAAAGCGAATTTTAAATGAAAGCTATGAGCGAGCTAAAGCAATATTAAGAAAACATACTAAGGAGCACAAGGCGTTAGCGGAGGCGCTGCTAAAGTACGAAACCCTAGACGCAGAAGACATTAAAGCTATAATGAATGATTCGCATTAACTGTAGTATATTTAATATAGTCAGACTTGATACAACTTTTAACAAAAGAAAAAAAATGAAATAAAATAAATGGTAAACAAATCCTAAGCTTAGAGCTGTTCTTAGTATTATATCGGCTAGGCAACACTTCTTAGGAGCAGACAAAGCTAATCGGTATCATCGAAGTCATTCAACGAGAGACTCAAATGTTTTGGCGGATTTATGATCGGAGGAAGATAGTTGTTAGATGAGAGCGTTTTAGAAGTTGCCCATGCTGCGCATACGCTGGGTATGTTGGGGTCGAGTCTCGATAGGTAGGAGTTTAACCTGGTACTTTGTCCAGACCTAAGCTGACCCTGCGGGCCTCTCGAGACATCTCGAGCTCGATGTCTGCGATGGGTGGTGGTTTATCTCCGAGTACGCCATTCACGGAGAGGGAGTCTTTGCTGGTATTGACCGACTCCTGGTGAATGGCGTTCAGTGCCTGTCTGTACGCCGTCCTGTCCAGCGGTTGTTGCACATATTGCTAGATGGTGTCCTTCATGTCAAGCACGCCCTTTCTGATGTGCCTAGAAGATTTTTATATTTTTAGAGAATATTTAGAACTGGGCTGTATGTGTCTTACGATAGCCGGTCAAGGACTCGTAGCACGTTAAACGCATAATACAACTGTTAAGATGGCATCGAGATGATCCTGATTGTATAATGGATGAAGTATTAAGAGATGAAACAGTCGATTCAATGAAAATTGGGTTGCAGGATGATATGACATCACTTCCTCGCAATGCCACGTAAGAAGCCAACTAGACGAGATTAGCTCACTTGATTATTCCTTACTTGGACTCGATTATTAGCTCACTTGAAAATCGGTTTCCCGATTGTAATAATGTACAATTTTCTTTGTTCTTTTGCAAAAACGCAAATAAGGTCAGAAGACTCACTTATAAAAACTTGCGAAATAATTTCGCAGTTATACGATTTACCTAGCCTTAGAAATGAGATTGAGCTTTGGCAACTAAAGTGGCGCTGCAAAAAAAAAGAAAAAAGTGTCTGAGATGACCGTTCTTCATACAACTCAGCCCGAAAATGAAATTTAGCCCCATATTCGATGAGCTCTCAAGATTTTAATCGCTTTACCGTGTACAACTTGTTCATCTGAGCGATCATTTAGCAGCTTAAGACGTAGAATGGCAAAAAGTCGTCTCAATGGCCTGGCTTTGATGAGGGTTCACCGATACCTAATCATGGATGATTTGGAAGGATTTAGAAACAAAGTTTTTAAAGAATTTAGTAAAAATCCGAGGAAGTTTGGTAATAAGCTTTGTTCCATTAAAACTAAAAATTTTAGTAAAAAAAATTAATCGCTTTAATACCGTTCACTCAAAAAGGTTAAATTAGAATGCTATTATCTGCCCCCCTGGGCTGAAGGCGTGGCGACAGCCTTGCTCGTATAAGAGAAGAGCTGGCTGACAAGGGTAATGCTCGAAAATTCTACGAAAAGATACGGCGACTTACGTAAGGTTTTAAGACCAGATGGGCAGAAGTACATCTTTTAAAGCTAAATGTTTTTTGTTATTATTTTTTTTTAGGAAGATATTGGATAACCTCTATAATTGGCAGAATTATTTTCACCTCAATTGGCACTGGACAGGACCTGCTGGTTTATGTGGCTTCTCTACGAAAATAAGACGATGAAGAAGGTACATTAGTTTGTAAATGGGATGGACTTCTACCTTTTTAAGAGCTAAAAATCCGGTGCAATATGAATCCTAAACATTGGCTGAGGTATGTTGACTTTAGTTTTAATATTTAATACCATCTTCTTTCAAGGCATTTCTCTTGATGGATGGACACAAATTGTGTTCAATGCCCTTAAGTACAACAGCCAAGCTCTTGCTACTTTTTAATTGGAGGGTATAGATTGACTGCCTATCCTCCTCGAAATTACTAGCTATAGAGCGGTAGCAAACTTCTCCGTATGATTGATTTTATACTTCTTGCTGACGCGGTTGTAAGGTCTTTTGGCGGCGGCTTAGAGGTTTTCTGGGAACGTACTTGATCATCAAACTCAGCCAGCAAATTATATCAATTTACGATTGAGTTATCTTTTTCTAGAGCTGCTTTTGTTATTTTATTTAGATTTTGTTCGCTTTTTTATTTTTTAGGTAAACATTTCGTTTTTGGAAGAATGTAGCGATTTATTCCCGGTTGAATAATTGTTTTATTCTTTACAGCACTGTTTGTATGATGGGCTTGCATTTCAAGAAGCTTTAGAAGATGCGGAAGGAGTTGTCATGAGGGCCAATTGAGCCCATAAAGGGGCTGTTAAATTTGTTCTGGAAGATACTACTGGAGCGGAAGGCTCATTGACTGCTTCTTACCTTGGCTGTAAGTTGGTTCTGTAAGAACAGCTTGTTGTTGTAATGATTGTTGCTTCTGTTTCCAAGTGGTGGCGAGCATTTAAGTGCGAAAGCGTGAGATTTTGAAACGCAGCTTTCTGGCAACTCCAATTATTTAATCAACATAAGGGTTGTCCGAATTATTGACAGTGCTCCAGTTTTGAAAGTATTCCATACATTACTCGCCTGTGCAAACAGGGGAAGACATCCACTTCGTTCGAAAGATCAGGTGGAGAGAGGCCTGGTTTCACTTTTTATTTCCAATTGACACCAAACCACGAAGAGTAGGAACGAATGTCCCGCTATTGTTCGTGCGGCTATAATACCGTAAGCGGTGCCCACACCAAACAAGAAGAAGAATATCTAAAAAAAAAATTCTATAACTTGATACTCTACCCGATTCACCACAATATCCAGTGGAATTAATCTTCTTAGAAGTACATGGCTCGAACCCTGGACGGACGAATTTCTTTTCGGCACGAAATATCAACCCCTTTATATTAAAAGCACTGATATAGAATTTTGTACTACTTCAACTTGTTTTTTTTTCATAAGCTCTATCGATCTTCTGATTCTGATTTCAATGTTCCCAAATCCCTCGTTTTCCCCTTTTTAGAAGAATTTTAGGTTACTCTCCAACAGCTCTATGCACCAACTTATCGATTTCGCAGGCGAGCTTCTGCAGAGTTCTTCTTCAATCCAATGGAGGGACCTACTATTTATTCTAAGCCGCATCTGAACGGTTGTTGGATTTTTATGAGCAGCTTTTTATTTCACGTCAGAAATACACTGGGTGGCAGGGAATATCAACCCCCATCAGCCTCAATTAGAAGAATTAATCTAAAATTAACCCATGGTTACTAGACTACACTATTCAAGCATCACAAAGAAGCGTTACAATAGAGGTTTCGAGAAAAGGCATTCCCAACAAATCTCTTTTCTTCAGCTTTTTGCCTTTAGAATAAGATCGCCTTTTCAAGCAATATTCAGATATGCACACATAAGACAAAGTTTTTAGCTGATCATCACAAGTAGCTAAGATGTTGAGACTCGATGTAACGTTTAAATATCAGGATAGGGCAACTACATACATTACGTACACATCCTCTATCCTTCTTTAAAGAACAATCTGAGTTTATTGAGCGAATACCGATATCGACTCTGAACCTAATTGAATTTAAGCTTTTTATACTAATTTCATGTACGTATATGGAACGCTAAAATGACTTTGGTCCGAAGTACGTAAGTACCACAAGAAAAAGACATAGACACAGGAAATTGCCTTCCGATCGGGTCAGATTGATATCTGTCCTTCAATGTGTATACAAATTAGTCCCTCAATTTTTGAGATATTTCAGCAAATTTGGTACATAGACGTACTGGTACATTTAAATGGGCACATGGTTAAACAGAGCCGACCACTGAGATTTGGTATTTTATACACATACATATGTATGTATATATAACGGATTACACTTTGGTGTCGCAAATTATCAAAATCGGACGGGATGTCAAAATATGTACTTTTCTTATTCATTGGCGTAGGCACCGCTTACTCGATTATAGACGAGTCCATAAGAACATGCCGTTAATTTTTTTTGCTTTGAATATTTCCATCCATCCGGACAACATGATTAACCAGCAGGGTCGCCGTCTTATATCTCATACAGCTAATCTACTTTATTCGAGGGAGCTAGTACAGATCTTAGATAAGCGCAATTATCTGCGACTGTCAATGGAGATGTGAGGACTGCGTTGAATGCACTGACTGGGCATGTTCTAGATATATCGCGTATGTCGAATATTCTTTATCGAGAACATTCAAACATGATCTTCTAAGAGATCCATGAGAGCAATATGTAGCTATATAAGAGCAAAACGCGCATTGTTGGGATGTACAGTTGAATTAGGAACTCGGTAGTGACAACCACGATATAAAGTAGTTTTTTAATTACTCTTGGGGTTATCATTCAGGCAGAAGTAATAATATTGAATTCACTTATGATGTTTTGAAATATTTATTTCAAGCCGTTTTTCTTGGGCGGCAGAAATAAGAAAATAAAATTATTATCTTAGATTTATGCGAAGCGTCGGTGGTTTTGATCCCCGGTCAAAGTGACATCCCAGAGAACTACGTGGTCGAACAGTGAACAGTCACATCCTCGGATGCAGACAATATGGGCAATATGTCTGCTTAGGCTATCCTTTACCAAATCTGGCTATTGATGGAATGAACATAACGAAGTCTTAGCCACTACACAGCTCCAAGTGCGGTCCGTTATCTTTTTCTCGGAAATATCTTTTTGAATTGCCCTGCAGATCTTGCACCTGTAGAAGCCTCAACTTCATTAAACGAAGTAAGTGATTTGATCATCAAGAAAGGTGATCGAGTAACCTCTTTAACTTACCAACTGACTACATTTTCTAATCTCTACATATGTAAGTATTTAGCAGTTAGATTAAATTTAAAGGTTAAAGGCTTAAACGAAATTCGAAATCGACTTAAATTTTCTGATAACTTCTTACTGGTAAACTTTTTTTTTTAGAGAAGAGGATAGCACAAAAAATGTCGGATAGTTATGAAGCCGACTGTGAGGATTCATTCTCTTCTACATTTAAATTTTTGTTTTGAAGGATTTGGCAAATCATAGAGCAGTATTCAATATCATTCAAGCGAAAGCTCCTCCTCCAATTAGTGGTGTTTGTTTCCTAACATAGGAAGGGACCTTTGTTCTACAACTTTTTATTTTATCGCTTACATTTGAGTCCGTTCATTTATATATTCTCACTTTTCTGTTTTTAATAAATTTGTTGGCCGCGGCCAAACTAGCGCTCCCTCGTTACCAATTTTTATTGAGTTTTTAGCTCAACGAACACGATTCAACAATTCACGAAAATCATCTTTGGGGAGCTGCTTTCTCTGGTTTTGCCTTCACCTTTGCAACTTAAGTGTTTCGGCAGCAAAAGGTGTCCTGAGTGAACTCAGTCAAAGCAACACTCTTCATCGTATGCTCAACCCAATTCAAAGCGAATATGGTACGAGATAAAAATCCCAATGATGACAATAGGATTATGAAACTCTAAATATTTTAAATATTAATAAAATTTAATAGAATATCTCAGCGACGATATCGTATTTGGGAAAAGTTAGATATAGCGTAGAACATGTTGTGTTAAAATGTTCATAATTATTTTCGTAGAGCAAGCAAGCACTTCTAAGGGTGTGATAACCCAGTCCATACTTAGTTTGTCAAGTCGCTGATTTTCTTTGTACAAGTTTGTGAAGTTATAAGTTGTTTTTCTATAGTATTTTTCATGGTATTCCCCTTTTTAAATATTCCTGGTGTACAGGGCCGGCAAACAATAGTTACATACATATGTACATATGCTCAATGCTATCTGTGTAAGAATGAATTATCACTTGAGCTAATGCGAATTCAAAAATAATTATGAGTCCATTTGTTTTTCTTTTGATTTAATACGATTTAATTAAACATTTCAAACCCTTAAAATATTAGTTTGTAATTTAGGCATATTATATGTATATGTAAATACTTATATATTCTTTAACAATAGCTAATTAAATATGTAGGATATTTAAACACAATCATGAAATCGATACTTTTTTGTATACACATTGATTATTCAATTAAATTAAATACGATATTCGTATAATATTTATATAATGAACTATAATTTATTGTACAGTACGATTTTTGTTTAATATAATCTCTTAATTCTTGTTTTTAAATAATAGTTTTGTATGTATTGCTCAATTAAATTGTTTATATTCATCTGTTTTTATTATTTTTATTTTAGAGACTCACAAACATTATACTCGTATATATGAGGTGTGTATGTATACATGTGTGTATGTCTGTATATAAATTGAAGAACATGATCAGGCTTTTAATGAAGCTATTAATTAAATTTATATATTCATAAATACATATGTATGCCGTTGCAAATATATGTACTGTGCTGGTAGATATATGATTGCATTTTATGAGATATATGTACATACATACATATACTATGTACATGCATGTTTTTTTTATGTATATACACACATATTTATGTAATAAATATGTAGTTTTGGATCAGAGTGTAGAAAGTATTTTTTGTTCATACTGGGAAGATAATAAGAGTTAGGCAAAAGGTAAATGTATTGTAGTACATACAATGTATGCATGTATACACATTCATGTATAATATATGTAGGTAATAGTAGTGTACATAAAATTGTATTATATGTACATATGCATATGTACTTCTAAACATTTTAATCCTGCATTAGTCGCCAAATAGGATATTTTCGGTATAGATTTCATCATTATTATTATATACGTGTATGTATGTATCTATGAATGTGTGTAGTCAGTAATCTCACATTTATTTATTTAATCTCATTATTAATAGGTAGGGTTTTAAGTAATTAGCAAGCACGCACTCATGAAGCACACACATACGTGTACATATGTACATAAACGTTTATTTATACACATTGCCTAGATTTGGATCTTCGCATAATTATCCGCTTGTATCACTTGCCTTTCGTTATTATAACTATGTATGAAGAAAAAGTTAATCTGCAAATAATTTAAGAAAATATGTACACATGTATATGGACATCAGACACCGACCGAAAAATGTAAAAACTCACATCGAATCATTTCCGATGATAGGGAATTAAGTGTATCTTCGACAGTTGCTTTATGCCTATCAGTTTTTGAGGTGTTAATTGGTGAAAAATTCTCTGTAAACAAAATAGAACGTAAATTAATAAACTTTTGAAGTATTTTTTTATTTATATTCCTGTTACCCATGTCACCGCTTGAGCTGGAGTCCGTAAAACTGGGCGTACCTTCCGTCCATGTGGGGGTTGAGCCCTCTCCAGATGCCGGCGGTGTCCACGCTAATCCTCCACGTGATCCATATTGACTACTGGATGATGTATCTACAGCCAAATATGTGTCTAAGTGTATTTCAGAAATGCTAAAATTGTACGTAAAATAAATGATGTTGTAAAGGTGCGTTTTCGAATGGATTTTCTAAGGCTAACTACACAAATGAAGTGCAAAATATGTATGTAGATGAAAAAAAAAATATCTAACTCGAAGTTAAAATTAACAGTTCATAATTGGGATGCATGTCTATGGTTTGGTAGGGTTTGCATTTACGAATTTTTACTTAATAATTGACCTGATAGACCATATTATGAGGGAAACACTAGTTAAATTTCCGATGCTCAAATGAAAAATGCAAAAAAGGATCGATAATAAACGAGCTAATTTTTCCGCAAATCTGCTTTAGTAACCTCAAAAGGCACAATAAATCTGGTGAATATGCTAATGTGGCATTTTTACGACACCCCGAACTCATGCCGAATTGCTTAACTCGCCATACAAAGTTTTGAGTGCGAATTACGTCAAAAGTGTATATTTTATTATCAATTACCATTCGGATTATGACCAAATTGTTGTCGTCTCTAATTTGTATCGCAAATTTATCGAAATCTGCTGACAAATCAAAACAAAGAATATGAAAATTCAAAATGCCCTGAAACACTGATTTTTATTTGAAATCAAACAACATTTGTATATTGATAATGAAAAAATTGAAAATTAGCAACAAAGTTATAATGTGTAGCCGGATTTTATACTTGTTGTAATTTTAAGCAGAGGAACATAGTATACTTTGCTTGGATGTGTGTTAATGACATTTTTCTGTCGAATTACACATGCATGCACCTACATATGTTCATCAACACTTCAATGCAATATTTTATAAACTTTTACCAAAAATTTCAATTTTTCGGTGCTTTCAAATGGAAAAAGGAAAACCAGTAAAACAGAGAACTGAGAGGATGAACAATTATTAAAATGTTATGTCATTCGAATAGGAAAATGTGATTTTGAATGGTCGATTATTCGAATTGTCGAGAGTGGTCGACCGTTCGAAGGCGAAAAAAAAAATGTTGAATTATAAAAGACAACTTATTCAGGCGCCTTTTATGGTTTGATTATTTACGGGCAGTTGGTTAGAGATGAAACGTCAAGGAATGTGTTTTTTGCGTCGTGCTTAACTGATAATCGAATGAAAAATATAATGGGTCATCCAAGTAGAGGTATTTTTTTCAATAGCCTTTCACGCATGAGCCGCATTAAGCTGTAGTGCTATTTTTGTTCACTATTATTTCGCATTTCGCATTTACGCCTGAATAACTTTTTCAAATCGTTGAACTTTATTGCGAACATTCACGTTTCGTAAAGAATGTGTTTCGCGCGCTTCGTTCAACTTATGGTCAACATAATTGGCCTACTAAGCTTACTAATCGCAACACCATCACCCATCTTGCGACCCAGTATTCATTACTGGATAATATACCACGAGGACCGAGCAGAGTCGATTCGGTGCCGTTCACAGTAACTCGGATTGACTTATGGAATGTCTAGGCGCAGTCGGGTTCGTAATTTGAAAGAGTATAAAACACAGCTTGTGTAAGAACTGAAGCCGTTCGACCTTCCCAAGCGACATCGCTCTATGGGCTCTTGAACAGTTTCCCATGTTTTCGAACTAAATTTTTGTTCATCGATGAGGCTCATTACTGGCTCAATGGCTATGTAAACAAGCTGAATTGCCGCATTTGGAACGTAGAGCAAGAGAACAAAGAGAGATTCAAAAGCTGCCATTTCATACCGAAAAAAACATCAGTTTGGTGTGGGCTGTGGAATCATAGGTTCATATTTCTTTAAAAATGATGCCAGTGAGAGCGTAAACACCAATGGCGGTCATTATCGCGCCATGATAACCGACTATTCGGTTTCATTAAGACGTCGCCATTGACGTTTTATTGAGAAAACGCTTCGGTGAGCAGATAATTTTAGGTTTTCGGCCGATCGATTTGCCACCACAATCATTTGATACACCCCGTTAGATATATATGCGGACAATCCCGCCTCGATTCAGGAGCAAAACATCACTCGTATCGTTTGCTAGTAACCAATGGAAATGCTCGAACAAGTCATCCAAAATTGGACTCAACTTATAGACCATCTGAGAGGTAACCGCGGCCAACATTTGAAAGAGATGATATTCAAAAAAAAAAAAAGCCAAAGAATGTTCTTTCTAATGATAATAAACATTCCCCATTAAATTAGAATTTTTTTTCTCTTGCTTTTTTCTAAAGTAGGAAACCTCGAAATGGATCACCATTAAATTTTAGGGACCGAGTTGTAACAATGTGTTGAGCGCTCGAAAAACATGCAATACAATGGAAGTTCAGATTCTACTAATACTACAGTTACTTATAGTAATATCGAAAGTCGTTTTTAAGCTCCTCATATGTAGTAGAGCAAGTAGTTTTCTTATTTTACCACATTATTTCTTTTCTAAATGGTAGACAAGTACAAATTATTACTATGAACCTCATAAAATTTATATATTGTGGGTTTCTTTCTGGCTTTGTATACGTACACACATACATACATACATACATAAGTGTTCACTAATTCACTCGTAAATAAATAATATACAATTAAGCATTCTTAATTTAATTACTGTACATAATAGCGGGACTCGCTTGGTCTAGGAAGTGCACGTTACACCTTATCGTTGCAATGACACAGTAACAAAACACATGCAAAATAAGAGAGAGAAAAATATCGTGTTATCCACAGATCATAAGAAGAAAAAAAGCAATCTGGGTCAGCTTGTTGTTATTCTTTGACTTGAAATGTCACAATCATGAAACGAAGGTGCGCTCGGTTTCTAGCGAATCTCCGTAGGAAAAGCTATGAATTTCCTAGACTAAGCGAATGTCCCTTATGCTTTTTTGTTTAATTTGTATTACGTTTAGATTACCTGACGATATCGTCCTTATGTGAGCCCCGAAACGCTGGACCAACGTTCATTTTACGTTCGTGGTGGTATTGTGATTTCCTACCGAAAGACGAACTATTTCTATTCGAACTGTCTTCGGAGATATCGTCAAATGCGGGTGGAGGCGTTGAACTGCAAGAAGGTGTTGAGCCTAGCGATACATGAAAACAATGGGTTAATCAACGTAACATAAAACAAAAGAAGCATATAGAAATCGATAAATTAAGGCAGTAAAAGCAATGAAGCGAGCTGGATGAAGAGGGCAAAGAGAACTGAATGAACAAGTAAGTTAAGAGTACGAGTTTGTCCGGTATGGGAGGTGTTTTGTTCTATGGTATAATTCTGGTATGTGCAGGTCTCCAATCAGCTTCGTCCCTTTTTAAATTTTAACGAGCGCCTTGTCTGCCTCGCTTCTGTGCGGTAGAAACTTCTGTGTTTCCGTTCGGACTATCCGCAGTAATTGGAATTGCAGGAGGTGGACGAGATTTACGTGGCTTAAACTTAGATTCAATTTCTTTCTTAACCTCAACAAAGGCATTAACAGATTGCAAAAGATTTTCTTCGTGCTCATCCTCCAAACGCTCATCACGTAGAGCCATATCTGCATATTGGAACATTCGTTGATGCTTATTACTTTTTTGTTGAGATCTGCGAAAGCTTTTTGCATTGTCATTCGTGTTGCTGAGAGGCAGCTCTGGTGGCTCCGGTTCGATTGGTGGGAAATTGTAAACGATCGAACCAATCGAAGGCCGTCCATGCCGTGATATTATACTATTTTGACGTTGGAACATATCGACGCGATGAAGTAAATTATATCGATAGGACTTATGCGAACGCACCTCCGAGCGTGCAGTGGAGTACGTCGATTTTACAGATTCACTTGGTGCAATGGAGCGGCAGGTCTTACGATTTATCATTGGTGAATGCACCGATTCTGGACTTTTTACGGGCCGTGATGGCGGAACACGATTCAGAGCTTTCGCCGACAATTGAGGTGGAGGCGGTATTGGTGGTGGTAAGTCAATATCAAACAAATCGTGTAATTCTAACCAATCTTGTACGTTACTCGGTGAACGCCGCTCACCGAATCGTGGCAGGGGTCTTTCCTCAACCTTCAGTGTACTACTAGTAGTAGCATCGAGGAATTTGTTTTGTTTCGGTTTTACAGTTTTCACAGTTGATATTGGCGTTGGTAAGGAGCTTTCGACGGGAAGGTGCACCGTGTCTGTTTGTCTGTTATTCTTCTTGTTTTTATTTTTGTTGCCGATGGAATATGTACCTGTATTGGAAATTGCACGGGCAACCTCGTTATGGCCATCACTTTTCTTCCTTCGGGGCGAGCCTCTCGGTGGCACTGGTGGGGGAACTTTAGATTTCGCTGCGCTACCGCCTGCATGTTGAATAGATAATCGCGGACCCATAATTGGGGCTGCAGTTGTTTGAGAGGTGGTCGATGTAGCCGAGGTCGGTACATCTGCCACAGAAGACATCAGTCCAACCGTCATTTTATTTGATTGTGTGTGCGTCTTCACGCCGGAAGTGTGACTAGTGTGGCTAGTGTGTAAAGGGTGCGCATGGGTCGGGCGATGCTCGAAGTTGGATTCCGCTGTAGATAGAATCATAATTTAGCATACATATATGTACTTGTATATATGTATAAACATATATTTAAAGGTGATTATTTTCATTCCGCCTTTACTTACATCGATTTTCATTCTCATTATCAATAGATCGCTGTATTGCCTTTGATAAACTTTTCCTTTTTGAAGGAGAATGTTTAAGTGCTTAAAGGAGTAAAGTTAATTTCATGATTTTGTATGAAACGTTAAATAATATGTAGATACTTACCGATATAGCTGGTTACTAAAGTTCGAAATTTTCTATGATTTCCTTTGATTTCCGGTAAATCCACTTTGTTTGCAAGAAAACATTGCAATTTTATTTATATATGTACATATAGACATACAAAAGTCATCGGTATTAATATTATTGAAAACAACTTACACGACGGTATTTTTCTAAATACAGTTTTGGCCATAAAGTTTTGGAATCTTTGAGCGTAAAATGATGGTCGGCACACTGATACAGTGTCCTGTATGAAAAAAATATTGTATCTTAAAATTTAGTTTCACAAAATTCTTACATATGTATATAGATATGAGGATGCTGGCGACTATCACGTATATCACTACATATAAAGATATGTGTATATATTTTTTAAATTGTTTTTTTAATGCCATGTAAGTGTTGGAATTTTTATTCTTCTACTATTTCACAGCGAAATAAATAAATTGGTTTGCGATGATATCATTCACTGTCATCTTACCCCATCGTGGATGATACTCTTGAAGGTATGCTCAAGCTTCTTTTTCAATCTGTAAGACTGAAGTATATCAATTATGCCAATGTACAGAAGTAAGCGTTCCCCCTTTTCACTTCTGGCAGGTATTCCACCGGGTCTAAGAATTGTGAAAGTAACGAATAAATGATAAAATATTTTATTAAAATTATTTATACTAACGGAACATCATCTTCGTCGTCTATTGGCTCGCTCTCTGCTTGAATGCTTTCCATGGCTGTGGAGTGTGCCACCAACCGTTGCCGATTCCCCGATCTAAAACGTGGATTGATATTAATTTTTGATTAATCAAACAAATTATTTATGAAAGTGGTATTCATGAATTTCATAGAAGATCAACTGAATTTTAGGTTAATTTTTATTATTGGCTTACCTATTTTTATTCATGCCAACAGAAGAATCTCTTTCGCGGCCCTCCGATCCGCCTGCGGCTCCACCCTCACCATCTGGCAAATCGTCAACATCGGAATCTTCAGCAAGAGGAGCTTTTGACTTTTTCTTCTCGCTTTTCTTTTCCTTACTTGCCTGATCCAAGTTATGAACACCGACTAATAGCGAATAGTCCATTATCTTAAAGGATTCCAACACCGTGCAGTCACGCTGTATTGTTTTGATGAGTGCGCTATATGTCTCTGCTTCTAAGAATATACCATTCGGATGATGTTCCATAAAATCGAGGTCCTTGTAAGTTGGCGATTTTTTAGAACGTTCCGCTTTCGAAGCTTTCCGTTTAAAAGTTGATCCCTTTAAGTCATATTTCAAATGCATTTTAACTGATGAGGGCAACAGATTGTTCATAACAACCAATCGGATATTTTTACTAGTGCTCGTCTGTAGGCAGTAGAGTCCAAAAAATTTTGGCAACAACGTTCGCGGATTTTGATTCAAGTTCATATAATAACTGAAATGAAGAATGGGAGGTAATTGGCAAATTCTATGATTTTATATGTAGCAAGAAGTAGATGTATGGATGTGTAAGTATGTATAGCACAATAAGGTTTCGTACCCTGGCAAAAGCTTTTGCAAAAACTCTCCTTCTTTATGTTGTACAGTTTTAACAATAAACTCATCATCAGCCGTTAAATAGAAAATGGAACCAGAGGCACCCGGATTTGATAACTCTCGTAATGGCGCTGAGCACATGGACATCTAAGTTTCAAAAAGAAAGGTATTCAAGAAGAAAAACATATATTTTGTTTTGAAAAACAGGCAGAATGAAAAATATGTTTTCAAAGTTAAAATAAAAAATATTTTCTTTTGATGGTCGATGATGACTGGTTGCTATAAATATTAACCAATGCTTCTACTGGCTTAAAAACTCAATTACAATAAACGTATGCTGGTATCCATGAGGTTTTTCCCTATTTACCATAAAGTCATCCGGTTGTATTCCAAACAAATCCCTAAAATATCGGAATGCAATAGGCGCATATATTTTATATCTGAATTCACTGTAATGGTGGGCTGGCGTAAGGCTAGATCCTTCTGGGGGAAAAGTTATACTTTCGATTTCGAAAAAGTCCATCATTAGAAGATCACGTTTCGGTTTAGATGCCAGGCTTCCGACCTATAAAAAGATACATAAAAAAATAAGTAAGATTTTTTAATAATAAATAAGGTAATACTAACAGTGTGTTGAATGCCCAACTGGATGGAGCCCATTATCTGGCTTGTTTGAATCTTTTTATACGTGATCTCGCCGCCTTCTCCAACGCGCCGATGCCCAATCTTCCGCTCCTTATCCCCTTTATTGCCATAACGAGACTGGCGGTGCTGATTAATCTAAAATAATCATACATACATATATGAAATTTTTTATTTAACTGCAAAGTCCTCCCGGCTTACTTACATCTGAACTTGAAGATTGAATATTTGGATCTGTTAAGAAAAAATATTAATTTTGTATTGTAGTTAATTAAAATAGTAAAAAAAAATAAAGAAGATTATTCTTTGTGGGATTAGATTCATTTTAGGTGAGTTTCATACTCTAATTTTCAACGAATTTTATTAAAATAGTCATTAACCAATGTCAAATATCTGATCAATTAATTGTTTTCAAATTTTATACAGTCTGGTTCTGTCAGCTTTGCCGACAAATGTAATACTTTAGTAATACATAAGGAACTAATAGCCATACAGAGTCGTTTGTGTAATTTGGTACTTGAAAATAATATTTAACATTTCATTTCATTTTTTAAATTTTTTAAATTTTTAATATTTTAAATGGTTTCATTTATATTTGATTTAATAATTTAAATACATACATATGTACGTGTGTATGTATGTAAATTGACATTTTTAAAATACCGGAAAGATGCTTTATCCACGTTAATGGTTGCTAATTTGATTCCAGTTTTGATTATTTTAATTATTACAACCAACATCGTTCATTGATTTTTGAGGTCGTTTCAAGAAAACTAAGCGCGATGTTATACACATTCGCTTTTAAAATACAAATGCCATTTTCTATTTTACTTTTATACAAAACTGCAGCTTTCACTAACAAAATTATTATAACGAAACCAAGTGTTTTATATTTAAACTAACGAGTTTCATTTTTCTATTGCACACAGCCACATATCTAAACACACATGTTATATTACATACATATGTATGTATAGATTTATGTACATATGCACTTTGAAAACTATTTCGTAAGCGCCCCTTGGGTGCGAATGTCGGAGTGAAAATATTCGGTTATGTATTTAATTACCATCTTTATTGAAATTAGAAAAATCTGCTGTTTTTGTATGAGATGTGCTTGACAGATCCTGATCAATGGAGTTGATAACATCGCCAGAAGCCATTTGATCGATGTTGTAGAATGTATTACTTTCACCAGGCACAAACTGAACGGGTACGAGGAGACGTTCATTTCATCTCTTGGCCTTGGTAAACTTTGCCAAACCCTTCAGTCTTGCCAAAATCTTTTTTCCGTAGTATAATTTGCGGCGAAAGTTTACGATTAATTAATTTGTGTAGCAGAAATAATATCACTTCGAATTTACAATTTTTAGTTAACGAATTTAGTAAAATTTTACTGTCCGTTGGAAGCTAAGAAAACTACCTGCTTACATACTTTTAGGCAGAAGAAAACTCCTCCATGGAAACGGCTGGAAGTGCAAAAAAATACCCCGGTTGTTGCTCATGTCATGTGACATCAGGAATTCCTCAACTGAATTAAAGAAAAACTGAGTTACCATATTTAATATTTTCAACCACTTTGAGAAAATACTTTTTTATTTCACAAGGGTTGAATATTTATTTATACAGTATGCAAGCAACTTTTCCTTTAGACCATTTTAATGAAATATGTTTGTTACAAACTTCGCTTTTCTTAAGCGAAAATATCAATACTTTAATTTGAAATTGTTCAATTTTATATCCAGATTTGTTTAAAGTTAGTTAGGCTTTGGAAAAATAATTACTTTTCTATTTAAATATTTTTAAATATATTAGCAGACCTATTCTGTCGAGGTAACAAAATTTACCTAGGTATTATATTAAAATTTACCATTTAGTAAATTTTGTTACCATTTCGTATTCTGAGCCCACTGTTACCCTGTAAATTTTGTTACCAGCGAAATAGGAGGTAACAAAAATATCTGCTGTTTGATTTTGTGTTGAAAGTTTGAGAAAAAATAAAAAAAACAAAATGGGTAGGCATATTTTAGGCCTGGAATTAATTGTAACCAGTTCGCCAGAATACCAAATTCAATTTTGGGTGTTAAAGAAAAGTATCAAAATTTACTTTACCGGTAACAGTGAGAAAAGGCCTGTAGATGTAAAGCTTTTCTAACGAAAAATTTGGTTTACATCTTTCCAAAAACTGGCTGTTTTCGAGAGAACAATTTTGTGAACGATTTATGGTCCTTTGCACACGGGCAACGGCGAATACCGGAGACGATAGAACGATGAGCTGTACAAGCTATATGATGATATTGACATAGTTTAGCGAATGAAGAGACAGCGTCTACGCTGGCTGGGTAATGTCGAAAGAATGGATGAAAGCACTCCAGCTTGGAAAGGGCCGCTGGTGAAAGCAGAGGAAGAAGAAGATCTCCAATCTGTTGGAAGGATCAGGTGGAAAGTGACTGTTTTCACTTGGTTGTTGTTGTGGTAACCACAAAAATATTCCAAAAAATACTTTTAGGGGAATGTTGCGGGAGTGACAATCTTTGGCCGAATAAAAATCCGAGGTTGTTCCCGTATAAAGACCCGACTGTTGCGGGAACTATTGAATTTTAGTCGCCTTACCGCGGGGAAGCTTCACTTGGTATTTCCAACTGGCGCCAGACAGCGAAGCGTAAGCGGTACCAACTCCAATAAAGAAGAAGAAGAGAAGTTCGTGAAGCTGTATAAAGGGAATAAAGGATAATTCTTAAAGATAAAGTTGGCTCAAACTGCAAACTTCTCCCGCACCTAACCACAACTTAATCGGAAGGTAGCATAAAATTTGTTTTCACAATGTCCGGTTAAGGCGCATTTGTCAATTAAGTTGTGGTTAACTTTGAGCGGTGATAAGCTCTTAACCAGAGGAAAATTTGAGAGCTGCAAATAGTAGAATAATAAATACAAAATATAATGAAGGAAAATTTTTGAAGCACTAACTATCTGACTGCGTTGATTCACAAAAAATAAGAATGAGTTTTTATTAGAAGATTTCGTCTTTCCAAAATTAGTGCAAAATACGTTTGGAAAAAATAGAAAATAAAATTAGAATCCGTATTGAAAAGTTTGTGAAAATAATGTGATTTGAGTAAATAAATATTGTTGATAAATTTATTTGATTTTGCAGGAATTAAGCAGAGGAACTTCGTTATAAAAATTACGCTTTTATGCATCGGCGAAGTAAGCGTGGCAACTGCCAACCGCGTGGTAAATAGTGTCCATTGCTCTAGCGGCTTGTTCAATCATTCATCAGAATACCGAAAAAAGCAGGGAAACTCCGTTTTCTTCAATATTGTCATTCAGAATAATGACTCTAATATGGATGAAGTGGAAGTTCAAGTGTATGAAGCAGCAGAAGCACGCGTTGATGCCGATGCAAGCATAGCTGAGGTGCAGACATACGTTATTGTAAGTTGTAGGCAGAGATTATGATGATAAGGTGGGTTATTTGTATAAAGAGCCATAAATTCATTTATAACTGTTGTTGTTTTTTTCAGGCTATAGCCATATATATTACATATATTCTGTACATTTAATTTAAAATCATCATAGTCTTTTTCCCAAAAAGAGAAGTTAAATTACAATTTCATTTACACTTATTAACCAAAAAAGAAATTAAAAAAATTAAACAGAACACCAAATTGTGAACTTGTGAACTTACCATAAAATATTCACAATGATAAAACTAACTAGAATTTAGGTAATCAGGAATTTGGTGATAACGAAAGTGTCACATCAGGCGGTTAGCTATTTCCCGATTAATGGTTAAGGTAATCGGAAATAGTGAATAAATAAAAAATATAATTTTTTTTAAATCAAAAAATAATTTTTTTTTTTTAGCGATCGACAATAATCGAATAGATATCGACAATAAAGTTTTTAAATTTTGGGTCTTTATAATACGGAGGAAAACTTAAATATTTTTGTTTGTTGGACAGTTAATTAAGTTTCAGTATACTTTTTTTCCTGAGATATTAAGAAAAATTTATCCGTTTGTTTTTGGTTATCAATATCTTAGAAGCAAAGGAAGGAAAATTTTTTTTACGAATTTATAACAAACTGCTACTTTTTAATTTGATTATGTTCTCAAAACTATTTAAAAGACCTAAAAGTTGGCACTCGAATTATTTTAATATTTTTCATTTATTTAAATTGTTGTGTTAGTTTTATATGTATTGTATGTCCTGTCCAGAAAACTAAAAAAAAGGACTAGTCAAGTTGAGAAATAATTCACGAGATAGAAAACCTTAATGATTTTTGAAGATTTAGAAAAAACCCTCTGCATATGCCTTCATATATTGAAAGGGCTGGACCGATTTTAATAAAATCCGTAACCGACATATTCAGAATAATTTTAACCTGGGCTTCTGTTTACGTGAAGTTTAATACAAAAGTAGCTTTTTGCTTGGATCAATCGAGTGGTTAGCACTGCGTACTACCATTCCGAAAGCAAGGGTGTCAGCTTCTTCGCAACCAACACCCAAAATTGTAGAAAAAAAAGTTTTCCTAATAGCGATTGCCCTTCAGCAGGAAATGTCAGTGCCCTCCGAGTGGATTATTGACGTGAAACAAACGCTGCTCATAAAAACCTATCGGTCGGTCAGAGGCGACTAAAAGTAAACTGTAGATCCTTCCGTTTGTTGGAAAAGCATCAAGGCGCACAACACAAATTCGAAGAGGAACTCGATCAAGCAGCGAATGAGTGTTATTTTTTAAAAATATTTGTTTATGGTTGGCCAAATACTGTACACCAATAAATGCAAATATGGAGGAATATCAGTAATGCAATATAATAGGAAATTTAATTTGGGCATTAGTTGAAGCTTAATTGGGTCTATTTAGCATTCCTCCGAAATACTGAAAGCCCCACCGACGATTCCGGCGATTTGTGGCGGGGTAAAACGGTTGAGTTATACGAGTATCTATATAGAATTGACTACGTAGCTGGACTTAACCACTCCTAAAACGGATAGATAAAGTGAGAACCGTGTTAATTTTCAATTTTTACCGTCTATTGCGTAGGGCTAAACTGACACGAGACTTCGGTGAAAATCCCTTATTATAGACATGAGTAAACAGAATATCAGTAACTAAGCGACGCAGTTTATTTTTTATTTTTTACCTCGGTGATTTGTTAATACTTACCGAAAAAACATTCAGAGATCCCTCTATTAAGGACAACATGAACATTTGAGCCATTAACGGCATTAACATTGATATGAAAATCAAAATCCATTGCGGAAATAAAAAATGGCGCCATCGATCTAAACTATGTTTTTTCGTATTTATTAATGCTCAGTACATGTTCGTACTTATACATACATAAAAATATGAATATGGTTTTTAATTTGTTTTGTTATGACATTTACATGCATTTACAAAATAAGCACTTTTGAAAATACCGCAAAATTTAGTTTCCATTAAAATTCTAAACAAAATATACAATAATAAATGAACAAAAATGCTCTATCAAACTAACTGCTCAATGTTAAGGATGCAATCGATATAACTACGGCAACCGTAGTCCACTTGCGTTGTATATTTGTTGCTTTATCTGCAAGAAACAATGAAGAAGAGTTTACTACTATATCATTTTACAATACAAAATCTTTATAAATATGTACATACATAAATATTATATGGAGTTAATTAGTTACATTAAGTAGATCTACAATAACTAAATATTTTTTCTCATTTACATCTTCGAATTGAACGTCATTATGAAGAAAATTACAAGTTTTGTAGCACGAAAATTCATCTGATGTAAAATTTATCTGGAGGAAAGTAACCAGTGAAAATGTTTGTATGCAGTCGCATAAAAACCACTATTACGCATTGCCCATGCCCAACTCAGAATAGGATAATAACAGAAGATTTTGAGATTAACTGAAATAAATTTTGGGGTTAAAAGAAAAATTCCTTCCAATATTCACAACATAAAAGACTTTTGAAATAATTCGAGAAAAATGGGAGTTTTTGAAAAAGTTACAACAAAACTATAATGTTTTATTACAGCTCGAGCTGAAAATCCGTATTATGATTATCTTATTTTATTGATTATAATTTATAGAATAAATTCTGAAGTTCACAGTAAATATTAGAAGAGGTTAAGAAGAGATTTTACTCTCTAAAGCGCCAAGAGTTATGACATTTAATAGCACCGAAATTTTGTGGATATAATTTTGTTTTGTCAGCATCGTTGAGGATCGTTTTAATGACGAATAAAATTAAATTTTACTATATTTAAGTGACTGAAAAAAAACTATAAAAACAAAAACATCTTAATCATAAAGTATTGTTGCATAAATGCGTTGTTTTAATAAATATTCGTAGGCTTAGCTACATCTGAAAGGTTTTTTTTTTTAATTGCAGTCGTTCCTTCTCTTCTCACAAATCGCTTCAACGTTTTTAGATTAGTTAAGGTTAGATAAATCATAATCCCACTGACTTGCGATAGTATTGAGCTTTATTATTGTTAATTAATTTAGTCACATTGGTATGTTTCGACTAAGATCCTACCTAAGCTACAAAACAATAATTCTTTATAAAATTTCCCAAGGGCCTGGAAATTCCCATATTTATTTATATGTAAATTATTTTATAATTTCTAGCCATGCAGTTGATTAACGGAAAAAAGACAAACATAATGAAATGCCACAAAAAAAAAAAATAATAATAGTTTGAAAAAATAATTATAACTGTATATCTTTGTATATATTTTGCCTACACATCTATTTATTTTTTCGATTATTGAAATATAAACGGTTAACATTGTAAATCGTGTTTATTTTTTTCGTAAATTTCTACAAAAAATAGGAGAAAGAAAAGTAAAAAATAATCTAAAGAATTATTTAGGTAAATTAATGATTAGAATAAAAAATCTTACCTCTACTTACCATAGAAAATTGTTTCTCTCCTCTTGGTATAATTGGTACCAAGAAGAAAAAATGCACAAGTGATCGGTGTAGGCGATTCTAATCTATCTCGTGGAATTCTCGTTCTAACTGTCGTGCTGTATAAACCGCTAGAATTCTGATCAGTGTGCGTCAGAACTGAATCTATTTTTTTGGTATCAAACCTACACGAATACAGAGAAAAGCAAGAGATTTGAGTAATTAAAATCATTAGGTTTCTGTGATTTCACCTACATTACAGATAGTTTAGGTAGGGGAAACACATTTTGCACCGCACACATTATATCCACGCCATTTTGTTCTCCATCCATTTTCGTTTCTAACACGAAATCGGACTCAGGAACTACAATAACATTAAAAAAAAACTTAACATTAGGCAATATTCGTAGCAAATTTCCAACATACCAATTATTTGCAGACGAGCACTTTTCTTATCTGTGGATTCGAACGTTTGGACTGTGCAAGTATACTCCCCAGTCATATTCCAATCTGGCTTCTTTATGGTTATAACTCCGGGACTGCCTTCCATTGTGAATATTTTTGTATCTATTTTGGACTTCATTATGCCCTTTAAATAAATTCAAAATTTGTATTTAAAAAATAATATGATTACAAATGTAAAAAATAAAATATAGCTGAAGCACTAACTGTGTGCAATAAAAAAAACTATTTACACGGTTTGTCCCAAAAATAACCGAACTTTTTGCATATAAAATAAAATACACAATATATTATCTTTGAAAGTTATTATTTATTCAAAATAGGTTCCATTTGGCTCAACACAACGTTTGGAACGATCAACCAGCGCATGCATAGATTTTTTTATGTCATTTATTGAAATGTTCTTCAGTACCTCGGTTACGGCTGCTTGAATGGCTGGTATATCATCATAAAATGCTCCCTTCATCTTAGTCTTCAGTTTTAGAAATTAAAAATAGTCACATGGTGATAGATCAGGCGAATACGGAGGATGGTCTATGAGAGAAATCCCTTTTTTCATTAAAAATTTGTGCGATTTTTTGGTCGTCATTTAATTCATGTGGAACAAATCGCGCACAGACCTTTCTTTTCCTCAAATCTTCAATTAAAATTCTCCAAATAGTGTTTTTGTATTCAATTCCTCAGCCAACATTCTCGCAGTAAAATTTGCATCGATACCAATGGTTTCACGGAGTTTTTCCACCAGTTCAGCACAATTACTAGTTTCTGGACGTCCTGCTCTAGGGTCGTCATTTAAATCCTCACGACCATTTTTTAATCGTGTAAACCACGCATAAACTTGCGTACGGCCCATACAATCATCACAATCAACTTTTTTCATTAATTTTTTTTCAAGTTTGACATTTTTTTTATTTGCTCTTTGTTCCATTTAGTTTTTGAACCCTTAGCACACTTGTGGTTTTATTGAAATGGCTGTCACTTTTACATCTGTCATCCGACTTACATGATGTTAGGTGCGTTTGAAAGAGGATGAATGTATCTTTTTTTCAATAGATGGTGCTGTACACGTATGTTGTATGAATTAAATATAAAGTTCGGTTATTTGTAGGACACACCGTGTAAGGAAAAAATTTAAGGCAACACTATATAAAACAGCTATTTTTTATTATATACAATTTTACCGAAGATAAGAAATTATTGCAACCACAAATTGAACACTATTTTAAAATCTGAAATGCACAGTTTGTTGCCTTCTTTGTGAGTGAGAGTATGTTTTCATATAAAGCTAGTTTTTAGTTTTTAGTTTCCCTTTTTGAGTTTGTTTCTTTTCGTTTTTTAAATTATTAATTTTTATAAATCTTTTTATAATGATTTTTTAATCCAGCACTTTAAATTAAATATTGTTCCAATTACTTAAACAAAGAGAGAAACTCTCTTTCTTTCGTAAGAATGCATAAAATGCATTTTGTGTATTTTCGAATTTTCTTTAACGGTATAAGCGTTGTATTTGTAAAGTTTAGGTTCGTCATAAAGACTCTTACTTACCATGGCAAAACCCTTTACTGATGGTATCCATTGGTATATGGAGTGATTGTTGAACAGCCATTTTAACACAAACCCCTTTTCGCGCGGCTCCACTTCGTACTCACAATCCAGCACCAAAGGATCAGGTTCGGTGTTTCGTTCCAAAGTGTACGTGTGAGGGACTTTGAGATTTGTTATCCGGACTGAATTGGTAACTTTATCATCATGAAAGAATTCATTAAATTACTAGCATTTAAATGCAATGTACAAATGTAAATGTAAAATAGCCTACCTGAGAGCAATGTCAGCCATGTAAGTGTGGAAATGCACAAGGACCATTTGTTCGCCATCAGCATCAGCATTTAAGGGATTATTGTCGCCCACGTACAATTCAGTGCACTGTTGCAGTGCGTTCGTTGCACCGTTTGGAATGGGGTGAGCGACCAAGCGGACTGCTTACTTCGCAGTTTTCATGCTTTTTAATTCACTAACTGGATAAAGACAAATATTTACTTTAGCACACAAAAGTAATTCGACTTGCACATATGTATAATATTTGTATGGGTTGGTACATACGTGTATGTATGTATGTTTATACGATATGTTCTTACGATAGTTAGTTCCGCTTGCTTAATGGATTTACTTACTTATACGATTAACCTAATATACGTGTATACCTAAAGTTTAAAGTTGCTCTTCACCACATAATTAGGCCTTCGAATTGTTCGAGTATCGATGTTCGTCGTCTTAACTTCTTAGAATGTATGTATCTATGTATGTGTGTACGTATGAGTTTTTCAAATGAGTACCGTTTTGGAGCGACAGAACGATCTTAAATATTATTATTTAACCTATTACTTCTATACAAGCTATTATTTAATTTAGTTTGTGTTTATTTTTGCCTAGTCCTTTGGCTTTCTCCACTGTTATTTTCACTTTCGCCATCCATTCACTGCACCTCTGTGTAATTTTCGTGTGAAAAATCGACTTTTTAACTCAGAACAGGTATGTGTGTACGGAATTGTTATACTTGTGGGTACACAATAGTGTTGATTCCTTTTTGCTTATATTTACTAGTAGTTGTCTTCTTTCCAAAAGCTTCCGACGGATGGACGAATTGGACATTTCTGCGCAAACTCGGCACAAGTCGGCATATAAGCCCTATGTGCAAATGTGTTAGGACAAAGCTTTCATTCAAACTTCAAGTCACAGTGTTGCATTTAGCTTTTCATAATCAGCTGATTTAGGTTTCCTGTGGAAGGTGATTTTTCATAACAGAAATAACCGTGAAGTAAAAGCAATTAGTTATGCTTGGCTTAAAATTTTACAAGTTGTAATAAAGCTAATTTGGGGTGTTAATGTCAGTTACATATATATAGAGCAAGTGCGGGTAATGTGGAATATCAATTTTACTTTCGTTTGTAAAATCCAGAGCATGAAGAAGCTCGAATAGCAATCGCGCGCTTTAAAAACAACAAAGCGGCGAGAGCTGACGTCCTACCGGTAGAACTATTCAAACATGGCGGCGAAGAGCTGACAAGGTGCATGCATCAGCTACATTGCAAAAATTTGGTGGGACGAAAGCATGCTCGACGATTGGAATTTAAGTGTACTCTGCCCAATCCATAAAAAGGGGACCCCTGTCGAGCATATTGTGTGAAAGACTGAAGCCCACCGTGAGAAAACTGATTGGACCTTATCAGACCTGGTAAGTCAACCACTGACCAATATTCACCATGTGCCAAATCTGGGAAAAGACTCGTGAAAAGAGGATCGACACACACCACCTCTTCGACGATTTTAAAGCCGCCTTCGACAGCACGGAGGAGAATTTGGTATCCCCGCAAAACTTAAACGGCTGTGTAAGCTGACGCTAGACAACACCAGGAGCGCAGTCAGAATCGGGAAGGACCTCTCCGAGCCCTTCGATACCAAATAGACAGGGTGACTCTTTGTTGTGCGATTTCTTCAATTTGATGCTGGAAATGATAATAAGAAACGCAGAGCTGAATTGAAAAGGTACAATTTTCTTTAAGAGTGTACAACTTCCGGCGTACGCCGATGATATTGACATTATTGGCCTTAACAACCGCGCTGTTAGATCTGCTTTCCCCAGGTTTAATAAAGAAGCGAAGCGAATGAGTCTGGTAGTGAACGAGGACAAGACGAAATATCTCCTGACATCAAACAAACAGTCATGGCATTTAAGTCGTAGATAATTTCGTCTATCTTGGAACCAGTATTAACACCAAGGACAATGCCAGCCTTGAAATCCAACGCAGAATCACTCTTACCAACAGGTGCTACTTTGGACTGAGTGGGCAATTGAAAAGTAAAGTCCTCTCCCGACGAACGAAAACCAAGCCCCTCATCATTCCCGTTCTGCTAAATGGTGTGGCAGCATGGACGATGACAACATCTGATGAGTTACAAGTTCCAGAGAAAATAGGTTTTATTTTGTAAGATTTCTGTTCCTTTGCGCTTTGGCAACGGCGAATACCGCAGACGATGGAACGATGAGCAGTGCGATTTATACGACGACATTGACATAGTTCAGCGAATCAAGAAGCAGGGTCTACGATAGCTAGGTCATGTGATCCGTATGGATGCGAATACTCCAGCTTTGAAAGTTTTCGATACAGTAGCCGCCGGTGGAAGCCAAGGAAGAGGGAGACCTCCACTCCGTTGGAAAGACCAGGTAGAGAAGGACCTGGCTATACTTGGTTTTTCCACTTGGCGTCGAACAGCTAAAAGAAGAAACGAATGGCGCATCGCGTAAGCGGTCTCTACGCCAGTCAAAGAAGAAAAAAAGAAGAAATTCCAGAGTTTTTAAGCAACATTAACGAAAATTAAGTTTTCAGATTACACAAATATTACAAACATGTGATTTATTTACTGGATCTTCTTTAATATAAGCCTAACAGGAAGTGTACAAACCTTAACAAACTAAATTATCAACATGATTGCTCGAGTTATGTAACTCTGGGCCCTTTTCAAACTACGGCGCTCTCCTTAGAAGACGAAAACATCTCTTCGCTGCAGGCGGGAATTCGTTGATGGTTTGCATAGAGCATTAGCTAGCGGATTCAGATGATTTCTCAGCTTTGTGAAGTACTTCGTCCTGCACATTTCAATTTCAGGCTTAACCACAATTGAAGCGGGTTTGTATGTATAGACACTAGATTTAACATAGCCCTACAAAAAAAGTCTAAAGGGTTTTAAATCGCACCATCTAGGCAGCCACCTGACCGCTCCTGAAAGTGAAATAAAATGTTCACCGAACTCGCCTCTCTAAGTCCGTTGTTACGCGTGGTGTACGGCATATAACCCTGTCTTGTTGAAACCACATGTCATTCAAGCCCTTGCATTTTGGGTAAAAGAAGGTTTGATATCATCTCACGGTAGCTAAAAATTACCCTTTAAAAATAAGAATATCATGAAGTAGTTAAAATCCTTTTTTTCTTCTGAGAAAGAAATAAGATTTTTTCGGCATGTTTGCAGGTGAGAGCAGTACTTGCGATACTAAACCACTATAGTTGTCTTTGTCTATACCACAATAGCCGACATCGAGTTTTGCCACATTATATATAAATAATAAACTGAAAACATAAAGATTTACAAAATATTACTTAAAGTGTTGATTAATAAAATACTTACTTGTTACCTCTCGATCAGTGAACATTGTTGAAAGCTCAAGATTTTTCGGTTAAAAATCGATTTGTACGACCACAAAAAAGGTCCACCGCACCACTAATCAGTTTTATTTCAACTGACTATCGCCTTCGCTGGCAAATCACAAGTTAAATCTCACTTCAATAAAAATCTAAGAAAACCGACCTATAGAAAAGCTGGTGTGCTCCATTACCCGCCTATGCCACATTACTCCCGCATTTTCCCTATACATGTACATAAAGTATATGAAAATGAAATGGTATATTATCTCGGAGTAAGTATGTGGCTGCGGTAGCCGAGTGGTTAGCATTGCGTATGGTCATTCGGTAGGCCAGGGCTCAAATCCTGCTAAGACCCACATCCAAAAGTTATGGAAATTCAATTTAAAAAAAAAAAAACTTAATTAAATTTTTCAATTGCGGTCGCCCCATGGTAGGGAAAGCCAACAACCATCCATCGGTCAAAGGGAAATGGCAAAATGACACTACCCGATAAATTTTGCAACAAACTAGGATAACTACGATCTTAGCCATACTATTTAGTCCAACATTCATACACTCAAAGATTTGTTTAAATTGGTGCGACTTCCGGAATATAAGGCGCATGCATAAGAACCTCCCAACCAAGTTATCGGAGCTTCAGACGAGGTACTGTCGATGTGTATGGTCTGACGTTGACCTGTTGAAAGAAGGAATCCACAAAAATGTCTGGTCTTAATTTTAACATAAAAAAATAAACTGTTTTCCAGTGGGAAAATGAAACATTTTATTATTGGTTAAGTGGTACTGGTACGTCTTAACGGTCGGCTGTTCAAAGTTCCTTTATTTGGTTTTGTTACTAGCCAAACTGCGATTTGAGAGAGGTTCGTATCATGTTGTATCTGCTGTCAGCATCGTCTACAGGGCAGAACAAAAACAAGTTTTTTTCGTCTAACCCAAATCGAAATAGTAGGAACTGCTAGGTTAAATCAATCAAAACATTCGCTTCTTAAATTTTCTTTCTTTTGGATACATCAGGGGTTTAACGGGCTTCTATTTATAAACGTAGCCATTCAATTTAAGGCGAGTTGACTGAACAATATACCTTTGTGTGACTGTATGAAGCTGACACCAGTAATAAGTAATAAATTAATAAATTTAAACCAAAATGCTAAAATCACAAGGGCATAGGAGTATGTGTAAGTGACCCTCAAAACTGGATCTATTCTGATTGTGTTAATGCTTTTGGTGAATGCTGAGAGACTGACAGGGGCGAAGAATACTTATGTAAATTGCTATTGATCAATTCAAGAACGCTCACCAACCTGGCATAATTTTTATTTACGCTGCTTCCAAAAGCTTAAATACTCATATACAATTATACAATTATGTTTTCTTAAAAGGTGTCTTAGGTCCTTAGAAATAACATACCAAAAGATAGATGGTGGCAAAAATTTCTAAATTCTCAAACTTTTTATTCGACGGCAGTATGCAGGTATGCCCGAGCGCCTTTTAACCTTAAATCACATTTTTTAAACTAGCCAAATGCATAACTCGATTCTTACCAAATTTTTGACAGTACATTCGAAATACCGTGCATTAACCTATATTATTAAACCTATTTCACAGATTTGCGATTGATACCTTTGTTTAGTTAAAAAAATTCATATATTATGCCCATTTTTTGCGCTCTAGACCAGCTTCCACCTTTATAAATCAAGCTCTAATATTTTGATATATTGAAGTTGAACAACGTAGTTATAAGTAGTATGCAGATATATGTATATAGTATATTATTTTAATTTTTCTCTTAGAGTTGTCCAATATATTAAACATAACTCTATGAGTATAATGGAGAGAAAATTAACTGGCGCAAGTTTGATGAACCTAATTGAAGGAAAAGATAGATAAATAAAATAGTTTTTTTTTGCGGTGAAAAAGGCAAAAACTCAATTCATTAATTAAAATGGAAACTCAATGAAATGCCAAGGAAAGGACGAACTAGAAACCTGAATGTTTGTGCAATTGGCGCTTTGTAACCGTTGAATACTGCTGAATAATAAAGAAGTGAAATTTATTTGCGTAAGTTATATTGATGTATATCATTACATTTAACAAGTTTCAATTTTTAGAGGATATATAATTCTTTTCGAATGCGTTGTTAAGAGCCTAAGGAAAGTTAAAAAACACTTAAAATCTTTTTTTGAATCCATACAATTAACGTTTGAAGATTATTTCATGCAAATGTTGACCAGGACTGTGCCTCAAATGGTCCATCCGTTTGGTCCAATTTCGTCATACACTTTCCAACATTTCGGTCGGTATCTCACGAATGAATGCTTCAATGTTTTTCTCCAATGGAGCGGGCTCGTCTGTATAGACAATAGATTGAACATAGCCCCACGAAAAAATAGTCTAAAGTAGTAAAATCGCGCGATGTAAGCGGCCAATTGACCAGTCCGGAACGTGAAATAAGTCCGTTGTTACGCGTGCTGTGAGCCATGTGCCACCGTCTTGTTGAAACCACATGTCATTCAAGTCTTGCATTCTGGGCAAATAAAATTGATATCATCTCACGGTAGCGCTCACCATTCACAGAAGAAGTATGCTCCAATAATGCCTCCAGCCCATAAATCGCACCAAACTGTGACTTTTTATGGATCAATTGGTAGCTCTTGCAATGCTTCTGGCTGATCCTCACTCTAAAATCGACAATTCTGCTTATTTACCCACCCATTAAGCCAAAAATGAGCTTCGTCGCTGAGCACAAACCAGAGTTGCCAGAAAGATAATAGCTAAAAAATCACCCTTTAAAAGTAGTGAAAATAATTTTTTTCTTCTGAGAAAGAAATAAAATTGGTTCAATCTTTGCAGAGAGTTAATGTGTTTTTTTTAAATTATTTTTTAAATTATTTCCTAAAGATCGCTGAAAATAACGAAAACTGCTTAATGACAATCTTTCAAATATTACTGCCCAAAACAATCTTCTGAAAGTAATTGACGAAATTACTTTTGCTTATAGAAACTATTGAAAGAATCCCGAGAGACTACAGAGCACAGGACAAACAGTTTTCAGAATAAAATTTGTCCTAAAAATAATTCGATCGGTGAAAAATTTTTCAGCTGGAAAGGAAATTTGTAAAGCTAAATTAAGGCAACATTTTTAGCCCTGAAAAACTAAGCGACTTTAACAAACGAAATCCTAGATCTCAGAAATCCATAAACATCCGTCCATTAAATGGTAATGGGGAAGCGATGCAGGAAATATTCACAGCAACGCTTATTCAAAGAATTAAGCAATGGTTCTTAAAATTTCATCGGATTAGATGATGGTAATCTACCTCGGCCAAAACAGTTTAAATATTTTTTTTTTGCGTAAAACAAAAAAAGGCAAAACTAATCGGTAAAAACAAAATGGGTTTCAATGGATTTCGTTTGGCCACATGATTCATTGTTGGGGAATGATTTAATTTTCAACAATTTTAAAAGCATTGATATTCGTAGTATGCAAATTATTTTGAGAAGCGGTGCAATCGTTATATTCCAAATGAAACATATACAAGAAGACGTTCATTCATTGGATGTAAGTAGGGTGTAAAATATGTTTTATATAATATATAATTGGCGCTATATAGCTTCTGATGCGGTTTTGGGCAAGCTCCATTTCCAATTTGGGGTTTTGCGCCTTGATGTTTTTTCCAACCAATGGAAGGACCTACAGTTTATACTAAGCCAGCTCCGAACGGCGGATGGTTTTTATGAGCAGCTTTTATTTCATGTCAATGCAAGAAGCGAATGCTGTTAGAAATTTAAACTTGATTTTTTATTTCAATTAAATTTCTATAACTTTTGGATGTTGTTCCCACCGGGACTTGAACCCGGGCACTCTGAATGGCAGTACGCAATGCCAACCACTCGGCTATCAGAAGAAAATATTAAAGTAAAAAAAATGATGGAACAGAAAAGAACAGTTTTATAAACTCGATTCTGATAAAGTTGAGCCCCTTCAACAACAGTTTTTGTTCTTCGCTTTGTATCATTTCACATGGGATACTCGCCAAAATCTTCCTGCGTATACTAGTTGCTGGAAGCTTATAAATCTACGCTTATAACCCTAGAGAAATGAAAGGAATTTTTTTCATGAAACTTGTAAATGCACTGATTTGGAGTTCATTTATGATAGGTGAAGTCAATTTTGAGCCGTTAAAATGATTTCGCCGTTTGTGTCAGTATTTTAATTGTTATTCAGACATTGGATTTGACAGACTCACTTTTCGTAACGAAAAATACCATATCAACTTCTCTTTACTGTGGCAGTATAAAAATATCTTATATTGCACCTGATTTCTTTCTCAGATGAGTAGCTTTAAAACAAGACGTTTAACGAACTCTTGATTCTCATTTAATTTTCTCTTTGGTTTAAATTTAAGAAATCGTAACCCATAAATAAAAAGTTTGTCATGTCGTATGAGCAACATTTAACCAACAGATGACAAATGTGAAGAGACGTGAATTCAAATATAAAGACAAACAGCTTATTTTCTAAGCATGTTTTGGTTTAGTATTCAACTGAATATCTGAATAAAAATTCTGATTAAAAAAAAGATCCATATATACTCGTAGGTGAATACTGTTAAATTCAACTGTAATCAACAAGGCTTGAGCTGCATTTCAATTAAAAGTTTATAGTTTGTTTATTTATATTATACATACATACATATCTCATTTTTCATACTCATAAACTACTCGTACAATTTACATAACACATTAATTTATTTCGTCTTACTTACTCACATATACATAATACCAATTTCAAGAGATATAGTAGGTACATACATAATTTAAAATTTAATGCATATATAGTCATATTTGAGGTTGAAATTTGCAAAAACAAAAAAAAAAGTATTTGTGTGTTAGAAAAATGTACAATGCTTTCTTAAAATACTTTATATTAATTTATTTTTAGTTTAATTTACAAGTTTCATTTGGTTTACCCACTAGCCTCATCAACATTCCCAATCAGTGTCTCAATGCGGAAGTCTTTCGCGTTGTTGTGTTTCGTTGATCTGACCTGATCATAATCAAAAGGAATTGTCGTTTGTTTGAAAGTATCATCCTCATTATATTTCATGATTGGTCTATCTTTTAAGCTCACAAAGTTATGTTTGCTCTTATTCTGATCCGTAAATGGTACTCCTGCTGTTGAGCTATTCGAAATTTCAGAATTATCAAATAATAGAATGTATGGAGACGATCTCTTTGCACTGGCATCATCTGTATTGCCTTTTGCCACCTCTTCGCCATCTAATTGTTGATCTAATCTATTATTTGTACATATACTATCAATTGAGTCTGATATGTGAGAGTCATGTTCATTAGAGCTTTCAACATCAATTCTATCACAGGACAAATCGTCGCTTTCATTAAACATATTGGTATCTTTATATTGCAACAAATTACTGCAATCGATATTCTGTTCTTCGGTAAAGTTTGCTGCCGCACCCACGGCGGTATGTAATCTACTAAATTTGTCTTGAATGTTGTCCTGCTTATGAATATCGTCTATAGCACTTAAGACGTCTGCGTTCTTCCTCATAAATGATACATTTTGGCAAATGGCGTCGAATTTGTCGTTGCTTTGGTAGGAGAGTGCATCTGCACCAGCGAAGAAGTTGAATTTCTTTTCTTCTCTCCGCGCCACGTCAAAAACATCGGCTGGTGCATGTAGCATATCAAAACAGTCACGATTATTTGTGAAATTTGCAACGTTAAAATGAACTGGCACTAAAGGCACCGGTTTTCTTATCCAGAACGGCGATATCGACCCAAATACAGCTGGAAAAGGGAATCTCTGCATCGCAGGCGGTCGCTTGTATCTCTTTCGCCTCCTCAGAAAGCTCCCATTATCAAACATATCTTCAGCCAGTGGATCCAGTGTCCAAAAGTTGCCCTTGCCTGGATTGCCAGGCTCTCGCGGAACTTTAATAAAACAATCGTTTAGGCTCAGATTGTGGCGAATCGAGTTTTGCCAGGCAGGAAACTTTTCTTTGTAGTATGCAAACCTGAAATGAATAATTTACTTTAAAATATTATAAATTTCACATAAAAATACATATATACATAGTGATTAATAATACTCATAAATCTATGATTATGCGGCTATTATACATTATTTAAGCATGCGCCACCCATCGGCCAATCACCCCGCCATACTCTTAGCCTTTTGCTTCCTGCCATTTGATTTATATGCATAAGCGCAATACTCAGGTAGACTGAGAAGCAACAAACCTAAAGCGTCTATTAGAAGCCAAACTCTGACTGGTACATACTTGAAGGCTTTCATTATTGCATGCTTATATGTTTGTCATTGCCAGGATTTCCAGAATTCCACGGAGCACCCCACCATACCCCACCACAAATTTTGAAGAGCCAAATTCTCACTTGGAGCTCACCCCACAGCTGCACCAATTTAATTCGTAGTAAATCAGAGGAATGGCCATCTCGCGTCATTACCAATTTTTTTTTAATATGGAGTTCACCCCCGAACTCCTTTAAGAGCCATTGCACTCTATAAATGGATATCATTTATCACCATCTTGCCTTTTTCTGAACATCCTGTCCCCCATTCTCCCAAAGCCTATACACACATTAAATGTGATAGACCTCTGCGTGATGGTCTTGGGTTCCTCGTAAATTAGCCACTGATCTGACATACTTTTCAAAAATAAATCCCAGAAATTAATCGCAGGGTAAAAACTGAAAACTGAAACTGAACTGAAAGTTAGCTGGTAGGTCATCAATTTAGAAATATGAACGAAATAAATAATTTAAAAGCTAAGCCGTTAGGCTATATAATTAATACGCCATGTTTAAAAAAAATGTATAGAAAAGTTCTGTTTTCTTAACTTCAAAAATATTTTTTTTGTCCCGAGCAATTTTGGACTAAACCGCAATAAATTCCAGATATCTTTCCCGGATGGAGTTTCAATATGTTAAGTAACAAATATTTGATGGAATCTGTCAGTTTTACAATGAAATTAAGCCTTCGAAGGCCATTCCTCAAGAATAACAGCATTTTTACGTTTAATGCGAAATGGATTCATATCGTGTATACTTGATTCAAGTCTATTTTGCTCTATGTCTACAAAGTAAGGCACTGTGTTTGTAGGGCAAACAGGGCAGGAGTAAAGCAAAACCATTTTCCGATATTTTGGTGATACCCATACTATAAATAAAGGAAGTAGAGTCCATTATCCTATGGTAGCAAACGCTCTTAGCCAGCAAAATTTAAATTATCGGGCTGCCTATAAGCAATTTCCATTCCTCATATGGTTTATATTTAAGGTTGCTAATAAGCCGCGGCCTTGTCCCAAGCCTTTGTGACCTTTACGAAAAGTATATACGTTAACATCGTCTTTTGAAATCTGGTTCTTGACAATTCGTTGTACTGCTTTTATCTGAATCGCAGTTGTATGTTTCTGGCTGTTCCGGAATAGAAATTTGCTGACTATGGTGTGCAGGTCTTACGAGGTGGTTAACCGACTTTTTCTGATACTTGTACAACACGACAGCTAAGCTCGTTTAAGTTTTTTACGATTTGACTAGTTTTACAAATTAAAGGGCAATAACTATAGCAGATATGGGCAGCCATCTTGATCTTCTATTACGCGACAGAAATATCACTGATATGCACTTTTTAAATGGGGCAGTAAGCCTCTTCTAAAATACAAAAGTAACTTCTCCACAAATGTAACATAGTAATTCGTTTTCGAGGCATCTTGCGCGAGAATGAAATGACAACCTTGCGGAGCACCACCGATTCGATACCTAAAGGAAGAGATATACCAAACTGTATACCGGGTGGCTCATATAGACGAGATGAGTTGATTTAGCCATATCCGCAGATAACCACTTTAGGCGACTACATCATATAGGCCCTATAAAACCAATTCTCACAGATATGAAGCTTTGAGAAAAATATACGATAAAAAATGACTAAGAGTGTGAGTATTTAATCCTAAAATACAATACAGCACATTCTACATGCTAATGAATGGTATGAAAAACTTCGGACAGCACTTTCTTATTTGTTTTTATTCCAGTTTTATTTTAGGTAGTTGGCGCTTTATAACCGCTTGAGCAATTTTGGGCCCGAATGCGGTGTGCATCTTAATGTCTTAGCGCATATTTGTGGGAAATGAACGACATTGCCTTTAGTTTTTATTCGTTGTCATTTGTTCAGTGTTAATAAAGGCGATAAAATGATTAAAAGTTCTTAACAAGCATCAAATAAAATATTAACTTGGCGTATTATGCTGGGTTTTTTGCAGCGGTTGATATATCGTTTACCTATATATATGTTTCCCTATTAAGGGAAAAATTGTTCACACACGCAGCATCTGAGTATATCACACCGAAACGTCTAGGCTTTATGCATTTGTGCATTATCTTTTTCTAATATTGGATGAGTGCATAAGTTCGTGCCCGATTCCGCTGGATGCCGTTCGAATCGTTTGAGAGTGGCGCTTGTGAAAGAAATATATACATATTAAATATCGTTAGAAAGGTGACAGTCCGAACTGTAAATCAAGCATAAAATAACTTCATTTTGATTTGAGTTGCTTAGTGAAAAGACGCAAGGAAGATGGACAACGAAAAAGATCATATGCGTCATATTATGTTATACAAATTCCGCAAAGGAAATTTCGTTCTGGAGATTTTAACCTCGCAGATCAACCTCACAGTGGACGGCCTTCTGAGCTTGATGACGATGTTCTAAGGACTTTAGTTGCGAATAACTCACGTATTTCGACGGAAGAGGTTGCCAGTGAATTGAACGTCAACAAATCAACTGCGTTTCGTCGTTTAAAAAAGGTTGGGTACACTTTGAAGCTCGATACATGGGTGCCACATCAGTTGAGTGAAAAAAACAAAGTGGACCGTATGTCAACAGCAATTTCTTTGCTTCGACGGATCAAAAACGAACCTTTTTTGGATCGGCTCGTGACTGGTGATGAAAAATGGATCCTGTACAACAATGTTCAACGCAAAAGAACATGGAAACAGGCACACGAAGGGGCGGAACCGATGTCGAAAGGTGGATTGCATCCGATGAAGGTACTGCTGTGCATTTGGTGGGATATCCGAGGCGTGATCTATTTTGAGCTCTTGCCAGCTGGAGAAACGATCACTGCCAACAAGTATTGTCAGCAATTGGTCGAATTGAAGAAAGCAATTGATGAAAAACGTCCGATTTTGGCCAATCGCAAAGGAGTTCTTTTCCATCATGACAACGCCAGGCCACATGTTGCAAAACCGACCCTGGCCAAACTGAAGGAGATGAATTGGGAAATCATGCCGCATCCCCCATATTCACCCGACATTGCACCTTCTGATTATCATTTGTTTCGATCGCTGCAGAACAATTTGAATGGAAAAAAATTTAAAAATGTGGAAGACGTCAAAAACCACCTTGACACCTTTTTCAACGAGAAACCGCGCGATTTCTATGAATCAGTCATCCGTAAATTGGTTGAACGTTGGGAGTGGATTGCCGAACATGATGGCGAATCATATTTGATTGATAAAAGCGCTTTCTTTAAAAAATTTAAATTTTAGTTTGCACTTGAAATCGGGCACGAACTTATGCAATCATCCAATATAATATTATTACATATGAATAAATTAATAATGAAATAGTCGTGGAATTTTCTGTAAGCAGTGCTTGGATGAGGCCAAACCTTAAACTCACATTTCATTCATTCAATGTTAAGAAATTCTCTACATAAAATTTAAATCCAGTATATAGTTGAACTCTCTTATCTGACTTGCAGTATTATCATCATCATTATATTTTCCACGTGGTCTGCACTGTCTCTACGCCACTGAAACGGGGTGGGAATGAGAGCAAACCGAATTAATTTTCTTCAGGTAAAACTTACTTATTGTAAGTTAATAGTTTCTACTTAATAAAAGATCGTATATTTGAAAATTACTTATAATACAAAAATATTATGTAACAATATATTATTATTATATTAGAATATGAAGCCAGAGTAGAAAAGGAAGGGCAAGTTTATAGAGTTTTTTAAACAAAATTTAAAAAAAAAAAAAAAATTTGATTTTTAATATTTTTCGAAACAAAAAAAGCACACTAACAAATTAACAAATCCAAAAATGTTGTGTTATAACACGGAATTTAAAAAAACTAAACATAGTAAAAATAATTTTTGTTCAATAATTCAAAAAAATTGCATTCCCGCCGCAGTAACTTTACCTTGCAAAATTCGCCTTGCTTTGCAGTGATGCAAATTTGGACTTTGTTTTATGATATAATAATTAAGGATAATCAATGTGATTGTTGTCATTGTTTTTCTTTTCTTGACACAAGTGCCTTCATACAGACTCGAACCGTGAACGTAACGTGCGACAGCGATTACTTCTAATGCTGCAACTACCCATTTTCCATACATACCTTCCTTCCATAGCAAACTATCTTATGAGAGCACCATGTAAATGAAAAGTTGTCACCGCTTGACGATGCCGTTAAAGGCGGTTGTCTCGCAGAAACCAGCGCCGATTTGATTTTTTCCGTAAAACCGGCTGGCTCATTTCTCGTTCCTAAAGAAATTTGCCAGTATTGAATTTTTAAACTAATATTAAATAAATTTAGAAAATGCGTTTTTCAAAAGAAATGAAAACTAAATTCTTAACTAATTATTTATCACCATAGCCACAGTAGTGGTCAACAGATCTATTCAATGGCCACTTTACCATTTATTTTCGATCAGTAATGCGACGTACGACATTTTTCTATTTTCTATGAGTTAAAATTAATCGAAACAATGATTGTTTATTTAAGATTAATGTGGAGGATGATATTCTGATATCCTTTTCTTCTATCAATTCTTCCAAATCTGGCTTCAATTGGATCAGTTCGCCTCCACAATGCATCGCCCGTTTCATTTGGTAAGCCGCTTTCTTCATTTATCAACGAAATTTCGAATTCCCAATGAGTTTTCTTTGTCCCGCAAAGATCTGACAATTTTTGAATATTATTTGGGTCACAAACGAATGGATTTTTGAGAAACTTGAACGCCAACTGAAACTTTTAGAAATCAATATATTGAATGAAAATATTCGTGTCGTGACCAAGCTAAAATTCTTGATTATATTGATTTGTGTCTAACACTGAAAAGAAAGTAAATTCATTTCCGTTAATTTGGTTTTTAAATGTGACCAATTTCAACTTGATTATTGTCAAGATGAAATCGCTTCGGTTAACATTTTAAATCGTTTTTTTTTTTTAATTAAAATCATTATTTGAAAAATATTAGTCTTCTCGTTGGCGACTGAAGTTTATAGCCACAAGTGGTCAAGTGGCTACTAGTTTGGACAGCACTGATAAAGATCATGTTTATTTCATTGGCATTTATATTCAAACATACAAATTATAAAAATCGTTGACGAAAATTATGAAATTGCTTAAAAGTATGCAAACACACAAGCAGCTGGCAACATTTCGTCGCTGTTAGCAGCATCGTTAACTAATGTATGCATATCGCAATCCCCGTCGGGAGTTATGGCTGAGCGGTATGTAAGATGGTTAGTTGCAGCATAACCACTCGGCTATCGGGATGATGGAGCGAACGATGTAATTTTTCGCACTTCAACTGAGCGTAACTGAGAATAAACCTCAGCCGTGGGATGGCAGATATAACAGCAACATACAGAGGTAGGAATCATTATTACTCCTGTTCGTGGTGAACTGCTACATACGTGTAAATATGTATGCAACTGATACGATGTCATCTTCAAAATACTGGTATTTAATTAAAATTTTTGCCTATCATTCTGCCTACTCCCAGCAGGGTTATTATGTTGCCGAGTTTTTAGTCGTGTATGCTACCATGCGGAGGATCATCAAAATTATAAAAATTGTTTTTCTAACTGCTGTCGCCTTTCGAAAAAAAACCTGAGCAGCCGTCTAAAACTGAGAGAAAAACTTCAAGACGCGTTTTAAAAGTTAGTCAAAAACGCACAATTCGGCTTATGAGTGTTACACAGTACTAGTATTAAGAGCAATTTCTATCAAACTTGGTGTTTATCTACTTAACGGATAAGTACCTATCGCAAACCGTCCACTTTTTTGTGTTAAATTCGTAACGCCACTTTTTCGAAAATGAAATTTTTAGAATGATAGATTTTTAAAGGGGTTTTGACTACGAATGTAGTATAGTACCGAAGAATCGTAAAATTCTAATTACTCATATTATACAATATATAATAAATATATTTCCACAAAATAGTTATCTGGGTAATGAACTCGTATTTACATAAAATTGATTATAACAATCAAGTATCGATACAGACAGTAGGGGTCATGTTTGTGCATTTTAAGTGGTATAGAAATAGAGAGCATAATTTTCTCATTTATCTCATTTTTTCTTATTAATATAGTAAAGCATAAAAATATCGTAAACCATATATGCACACACGTACAAATGTATATAATATTGTTGATATTTAAGGCGGCCGCGGTAGCCGAGAGGTTAACAATGCGTACAGCCATTCGGAAAGCTCGGGTTCAAATCCTGGTGTCGTATTAACGTCCAAAAAATTATAAAAAATATATTTAGTTAGGAAATTAATCTAAATTTTCTAATTTCGTCGCCCCTCTGCGGTCAATTCATACTATTATATTAACTAACTATATATTATATATTGGTCTAAATTTGCTTCATATAAACGTTTTTATACGCTCAGTATTCGTACGCTCAGTATTCGTTACAATATTTTCTTACAATTTTCTAAATGCTGGCATGTCTTTCACACTTAGAAGACTGGACCCAATTGTCAACAAATTAAGGCGGGCACATACATATGTCAATGTTTTTGGCTGACATTTTTCTGAGTGTGGCCAGACACTATTATCTTGCATATGGTTGAAGCGGCTTATGACTTCCGATCTTAGATCAACTATCCTCCGGGTATCCCACAATCATCCACTTGAAGGCGAACTATGGTGAAATGAAGAATGTTGTGTGTAGAGTTTGGGACACAATGCTTGAAAACTAAACTCCGTTATCCAGCCAACATTAACCAAAAACATGAAAGGCTGACATCAACGCTGGCCAAGAAGTGAATTGGACGGGACACGGACGGAAGACAATGGGTCCTTGGGAAACATACTACAGAGGCCATAGGATTTATGGTGGGAGAAAGTGTCCGTCGTCGAATATTGGCAATCACTCTTTCGCCACAATCCGCATAAAAACAAAATTTTTTAACATACATATCGCTGATTTGCGCCTATGCACTAACGGAAGAGAGGGACGACGTGATCAAGAGTGCCTTTTATGAGCATATGGAGCATACTTAGGCCGACAATAGCTGTACTCCAAAATGCTACGAAAAAATACGGCAACTACATTAGGTTTCAAGGCCGGAGTAAGGTCTGAAACGACTATGACGAGGTCGAATAGCGATTATTTTTCTTCTTTACTGGCGTTGGCACCGCTGAAGCCAGGTCACTCTCCACCTTCCAACAGAGTGGAGGTCTTCCTCTTCCTCTTTCATAGCTGGAGTGTTTTCATCCATTCGGACGACATGTCTTAGCCAGCGTGGCCGCTGCCTCTTCATTCGCTGAACTATGTCGATATCGTCGAATTGCGATTGCCCGTTGAAAATAATACGAACAGCAGAACTAAATAGAAAAGGTACAAAATTTTACAAGAGCGTACATCTGCTGCCGTAAGCCGACAGACTTGATAATGAAGTGAAGCGAATACGACTAGATTGAACGAGGACAAAACGAAATACCACTTGCCATCAAATAAACAGACGTCGCAACCGCGACTCGGATCCCACGTCACTATTGACAGTCATAACTTCAAGGTCATATATAATTTCATCTATCTTGTAACCAACATTGACACCAATGATAATATTAGCCTTGAAATTCAACACAGACTCAATAGATGCTACTTTGGACAGAGTAGGTATTTGGAAAGAAAAATCCTCTCTTGACAAATAAAAGCCAAACTCTAAAGACCCTCATCATTCCCGTACCATGAAGTCGTCCAGAAGCTTGGACGATGTCGACAACCAACGAGTCTGCCTTGGGAGTTTTCGAGAAAATAGTTTTGTTATCGAATTATGGCGGTCGCGGTAGCGGAGGGATTAGCGTTGTGTACTTACATTCGGAAGGCTCGGGTTCAAATCCCAGTGCGACCAACATCCAAAAGTTATAGAAAATTAATTTAAATAAAAAATTAAGTTAAGTTTTTTAATTGCGGTCGCCGCTGGAAGGAGGAGGACCTCGGCCAAAAATCGCTTCAGTGGTTACAAAGCGCCAATTATATACTTATATATCGAATTATGGTCCTTTGCGCATTATCAACGACAAATACCGCAGACGATGGAACGATGAATTGTCATTGACATCATTCAGCCAACAAAGTGACAACCGCTACGCTGACTAAATCATAATCATAAACTGTAGGATTCTTTGTTTTGTTGGGAAACCATCAAAACTCAAAACCACAAATTGGAGGAGAATCCCGGCCGAAAATCGCTTCAGGGGTTCCAAAGTGCCAATTATATATATATATATATATATATATATATTCCGATAACTGAGTCATTTTTAGATTACGGGTCTCATATTCATTATACAAGGATTCAGTAACTGCAATCAAAGTCTTACCACAGGTAAAGAGACATCACCATAAGCTTTAGCTTTGCCCTTACAACTGTAATCCGGAAACCTTTGGTCTTTCATTCCAAAAAACTACTATATTTTTATTCATACACTATTTATTTACCATTGCTTTGCTTCATAGCCCCACCGAGTTTTTTGACTTTTATCAACACCACTGCGAGAGTTCTAAAGAGATCAGTAGCAATTATTGAAGCGTATTGATAGTTTTCCGAAATTAAGCAAAGCCAAATTATAGTAGTAGTAGAATGGGTTGTTTATTAATGAATATTTGTACGACTCCATAAATATTATTCGAAACCAAATGCTTAAACAATCCGACGGTGCTGTGGTTTTGGTGTGGGTCTTTACAGAAGGTTTTTAAAGCAGATAAAGAGAACTTGGGAGAGAACTAGGAATTAAGTTGAAATTTAAGTTAATCAGTTGTAGACATAATCTCTCCGATGTGATGGAAGCCTTCCTCTTACTCGTCTTCTATCAGCGGCTGACAGATTAATATTAATGTCAACTCAGCTCAAAGTAGCACCTGTCAGCAGTAGCAGTATATACCGATAATCGACTTAGATAAAACCATAAGCTTCATAGCGCGGCCTCAAATATAAAACATTTTACAAATTTTGGTGAAAGAGAATCCATTCTATTTTCTTCAAAAACATGAAAACGCTTTTCTTCGCAGATGAGCTCAAGGCGAATACGACTTGGTAACGTTACTGATGATAATGATGACATACGGTCATCAAATGGGGCCTCTCTTCTAGAATTTACTCTAGCCAGCCGCAGCAGTTACTTTTTGGAACATAGTAAAGCTAAATAATTAGCCATAACGTGGAATTATATGCATTTTATTTCTTCTTGAAACCCACATGCCTAAAAAAGACACCACCGCTAACCACTCGGCTTTTGCGCCCACGTTTGCATGCGGAACTCAGTCACAATAAATAAAAATTAATAGCAAATAGTAGATAAAAAAATTAAATGGACCATATTTTTTGTACGCCGATTTTACTCTTTTTTCTTTCCGTGCGTTGGGACTATAGTAAAATATTGGAAACTATCAGCTTTGAAAGAAAAAATCTCTTATGCCAAAATCAATGTTCCCCCCGCGATTCGCAATGAATTTGCTTACACCCACGTATTTGAAGAAACATCGATCTCTTCCATATTCAGTAGACAATTTTTAAATAGCACTTAAATCCGATGATAAACAATTTCTCTATTCCATAGAACATTCCAAAACTAAGCACAAAATAATATTAAGTTGTTAAATGAATTTAAGTAGCATACACATATATATATATGTATGTATCATTAAGGTATTACCTTGACATTATAAAATCACAAATGCCACTTAGTGTGAGTTTTTTATGCGGGGATTGAAGGATGGCCATTGTAATGAGGGCAATGTAGGAGTATGGCGGTTTAACAAGCGGTGCACCGTTGGTGTTCTCCCCTGTGCTGTTACTACTGCAGCCACTGCTGGAGCCTGATTTTTCATCCGCCAAATTGGATGAGGATGCTGCGGCTAATGGAGGTGAAATTGAACTGTGCGTATTGGAGGCGTGTCTTAACTTCTGACGGGGCGGCGACAACTGCAGTCGAGTGTGGTGATGGACGTTGCTGCAAGCAATTGGATGATCCGCTGAGGTATGCATGCCCGCTCTAGCTGTGTTTGCGCGACAAGGAAGTCAGATGTAAATTAAGAGGAGAAGTCACTTATACAATATTAACTTCCATCAAGGTGAAGCAATATCGGATGCTCGTTATAATTAATATGAATCAAGTGATGTGGCTTCAATTACTTGTACACTTAAAGCCCCGAAATCAATGGGGTTTCTTTATCTAATGCATACACATGCATTCACTTCACTTATACATGTATATGTGCACATATTTCTATATCTAATAACTAGTTATTGTATACTACAATACATATCATCCATCACAATTTATGCTTAACACGTTCTCAATTTATATTTTATTTAGACAATGCAATGCATGGACCAAATTATTGTTTTAAGTAGGAACTAGTTTCAAAAAAAATATATATATATATATGTATGTAGTGTCCTTTTATTTATAATGTCCTTTTATTTTACAATCTTCTCATCTCTTTGTCGGCAATTATATTAAAATTCACGTAATAGCACTTAAGCTCCAATTTATAGTTTGTTTGTGAGTCAACGAAGGACGAATTAGTTTAATTTGCGTTTCTGTTTTTAGCGTTCGAAGCTACTGCGATATGACTGTTAAAAATGGCCGTCGCGAGATGCGATCGCGTGCTCTAAATTAAATGTGTCCGCTTCTTGTCTGGTTTTATCCGAATCCTTTTAGTAAATGTTAACTGAACTGCAACGAAAACGAAACTTTCACGTTCGACTTTTTTCCTGACTTTCTCTGCTGTTTTTTCTGCTCGCTTTACATAACCAAACATTTATTTATCACAAAACCACCGCTGTGTCTATCAGCTTTTGTCAGCGTTCAGATGTTTATGCAGCTCGAATAATTCTGATTCCGTTTCAGCTGCCACCTCTGCTATTGCCTCATCTTGTAACAAGCATCCCTTCCCCTGAATCGCAGACAAAGTCGTTGCCATTGTTACAAAGAGATGAAACGGCTATGCGGCCATCGTATGAGAGTGAAAGAGCGCGAGCTGTGCAGGATGTGTGCGCGTGCACGTCGGGAAAATCGTAAGCGACAACATCATCAGCATAGCAGGCGGTGAGGTGAACAAAGGACCATGACTGAAATAGTATGTGGTATGCACATATACATATGTACATTATGTATGGTATGTGTGTATGTATGTATGTATGCATGTATGTATATACAATCATTTATAGGAAATTATTTACAGACTCATGTATGCATATATTTTTGTACATTTGTATGCTAGTTAAAGGAAATGAATGACAGAGAAGGGATGAAGGCTGAGATTGGGATGTAAACAAATATTTTGAAGATGTGCTCGGTATAAGCTCAATGAGGAATGAACGCCGCAAACAGGGAAAAGGGTATTAACGGGCTACATCGAGTCAGACACTTTATATGTACATATTTATGTTGCAAGCATATTCTCGTATTTTTCGCGTTTAACTCTGTACAACAACAGTAAAACATAACAAAATGGTGGCACGCCGAAAAGTAGATACCTATTCACATTGGTATTTGTTGTACGACTATACGACTATGAGAATTTGTTATGTTTCTTCATTGTATGTTGTTTCAGTAATGGTGGTGATCTGATGAGATTCCTCAAATGGGAAGAGAGATTAGTTTTAGCTGTAATAAAGAATTACATGCATGCATACATACATACCTATATGTATGTGCGTATTGGGATGTTTACAAATAAGCGCAAGCCAAACCGAAATGGCTTTCATTTCGAGATACCTTTGATATTTTATTTTAATTATGTTTGCTTTATATTTAATAATTTTTTAAATTGCTTGGCTTAATAATCTTTCATTACCCAGAACATTTGTATTTTGTATAAGCGTATGTACATATGTATGTGTATACACATCTCAATAAATGATCTAAATAATACAAATGGGGAGCGTATATGGATGTATATGTACATATGTGGGATGTTTTGAATGATTTAGAAAATTGTCTTGGCAATAAAATAATTTAAATAATTCATTTCAGGATTAAAGGGTGTTTCAGTTATTTCTAATTACCAGCACATACCGCTGAGTGAAAGCGATTCGCCTCAATAACTGTGCCGATTGCTCTGTTATTTTACAGATTGAATAAAGAGTGAAGTGAGGCAAGGACAAAACAAACTACCTTCAATTATCAAATAAACAGTCAGCGCAGGTCATTCGCATCTCGGCTCCCTGTTCACTCTCGTGGCAATCTTCACTTCCGAATTTTAGACATTTCCGTCTATCTAGGAACCACCACCTCTCAATAAAGAAAGACTAAGCTGTATGCGTCGCTAAACATTTTCTTCCAGCTATGTGGGGCAGATTAGACGATGGTGTACACGTATATTAACAACGATAGATATAACTTAATATGTGATCTACGCTTAGGCACGATAACGCTAAATGCATAGGCATTACTTGCAATCGCTTTGCATGCAACAATACCAATAAATTCCATTGGCTACAAGTGGCTGATCCACTTCTCGGAGAGAAATACATATATATATACATTATTCTAGGTAAGAAGCTAATGAGCAAATAGAACCTGGTTCTGCCCCCTTACCGAAACGAAAACATTCTATTTATGCCGAAGATCTTAAATATATTTAATAATGCTGCTATTAGTTTTCAAAAATGGAGATTTAAGGGATCCTTCAATTATTTCTTTCTAGAGTAACTTCAAATATTCCTAATTTCATATATATAATCTATATATATATATATATATACTTAATATTCATTTTGAAGGTAGGTTATTTGTCTTTTCGTTTATTCGAGTGAAATTTTATAGCCAAAAAAAGATATTTTGTATGCAATTTTGTGTGGTGTGTGTCTTGAAGCTATTCCACAAATAAAGAGCCTACTGCCACCTAACTACTGAAGAAATTTAGCTGGAAACTATTTTTTTTCGTGTCAGAAATACATTTAGAAGGGTTGCCATTCTCTGCCGAGGAGCAGCAACTCAGGCAGAGCTAACGAACTAGTGATGGTTTTAAATCCATATCGATAACCAATTAATATTATTTATTAATATTATAACATATTGAGATTGACCCCATCCACTTTCTAGCAAAAAATTAGGTTTTAAGGCATTTAAAGTATTTATTGATCTTATAATAAATTTAGCTGAATAAAAACTACAAAGCTATGTCGCCACGTACTAACCAGCTCCAATGAAAAAAATAATAATGAGATACGCCCTTCTGATGACGAACCCCGCAAATGTTTTAAGGATCACGATTTATGGTCACACACCTGGAATGTCCGGTCCCTTAATTGAGAAGATACCGCTGCCCAGCTAGTTGATGTTATCGTGTAAGAAGTGCGATTAATTGTACGAGGGCGGAAGCGAGTGGATCTTTGTGACATTTACTGCAGGCGCCATATAGACTCCGACGGCGAGTACTAGTATTTACCCCGGTAGTTGAACGTCTCGCCACAATCCTCATCCTGCGCCCTCGCCCCGACGTAAGTGAAAGACGATGTGACCGAAGCTGCCTCTTATGAACGCCTGGAGCGTACGTCAGGCTGGACCAAGAGGGTATCTTTTGTAAAACTGTCGTATAATTTAGGCTCCACAACGAAGCATCCCCAAATGAGTTGAGGCTGATAGACTTCGCCGGGGCCCGAACAATGTAGTGTAGTACTAAATATCAGCACAGGAAAATTCACCAAGCGACTTGATAGCCCCTGATCGAAAACACAAAACCAAATCGATCATATTGGGTTAGACGGAAGACATGTCTCCAACGTTCTTGACGTGCTTACACTCCGAGAACTTAACATCATGGCATACCGGCAGAGCTATTCAAACAGGGAAATAAAGAGCTGTCGAAGTACAGATCCTCAGCGCAAAAGTAAAGTCCTTTCTCAAAAAACGAAGACCAAACTCTACTCGGCTCGCTTGTCGTTCCCGGTCTGCTATATGATGCGGAGGCGTGTTTGATGACAACAACTGATGAGTCAGCGTTAGGAGTTTTCGAGGGAAAGATTTTGCGTAAGATTTATGGCCCTCTACGAGTTAGGAACGGCGAATACCACAGCCGGTGGAATGATGAGCTGTATAAGATATACGGTTATGTTGAAAAGCAAATAGAACATAAAGTCACATTTGGTATCTTTACATTCCGATTTTACAGGCCTATAAGTCCTCTACCTAGCTTACGGAGGAATGTCCAAAATATTCCTGCCAATTAATTTTTGTCCATCAATGTCGTATAAAAAATATTAAAATATTTGATTATGACTGAGATAAAATGAACATAAATTGTTCATGTAGGGTGAAATAGGTAAATCGTCTTAATCAGAGCGAATGATTAGCACCTAAGCCGAAGTTAAAACACGTATTAATTTTAACAGCTTTCGAAGTTCCGCGTGCTAATATACGAAAACCAAGGGTTTGAAGAATGTCCAAATCTAAATAATTGAAACTCTTGAAATTTTAAAAAGCAATCGCAATAGTGGCTTAGTGGTTAGCGTTGCGTACTGCCATTCGGAAGATATTAGAATAATGGAAATTTAATTAAAATAAAAAATAAAAAGTTGATTTTTCTTATTGCGGTCGCCACTCGAAAGGGAATGTCGAGTGTATTTATGACATGAAATAAAACCTCCTCATGAAATCCAAACTGTAGATCCCTCTATTTTTTGGAAAAAAAATCAAGACACACATCACAAATTATAAAAGGCGCTCGACCGATATAAACGGATTTCCGTTAAATGCTAGGGAAAACCAAACATTAGCGTTCTATCAAAGAACTATTGTAGGCTACCTTACATCGAAATACACTCATGAAAACATTACAGAATTTCCAGTTATTTTTGTTTCCAAGCGTGATTCATAATTTTTTTTGTAAAACAAACCCGCTCGCCGTTCGCTCACTAAAAGAAATTTTGTTTGATATCTAACATTTCCGAATGTTTCAGCCGAAACGATAGAAACTTTTTGATTAATGTGAAATTTATCATCCTTCTTGAAAATCTAAACGACATATGTTGCAAAGAATACACGGTGTGTCCAAAAAATAACCGAACTTTATATTTAAATCATACAAGATATAGCGCCATCTATTGAAAATTTGCAACATTAAAAAGATACATTCATCCTCTTTCAAACGCACCTAACATCATGTAAGTCGGCTGACAGTTGTAAAAGTGACAGCCATTTCAATAAAACCAAAAGTGTGCTAATGGTTCAAAAATAAAATGGAACAAAGAGCAAATATAAAATTTTGTGTTAAACTTGAAAAAAAAAATTAATGAAAAAAGTTTATTGTGATGATTGTATGAGTCGTACGCAAGTTTATACGTGGTTTACACGATTTAAAAATGGTCGTGAGGATTTAAA